GTGGTTTCTTTGAAATTAAGCGTAGGTGACTTGACGATACTGTTTCCATCCATGTTGAATAAATCCATCCATTTTGCTTTGATGCCAATAATTTCATCTTTCAATTCCGCAAATTCGTTCTTGAAAGAGTTGCCAAAAATAATCCAACTAACCGGATCTATCATCGTTTGATTTGTACTTTTAATATCTGCGATTTCTTGTGCTATAGAAGCTTTTATTTTACTTTTAAAATCTAACCAATCGTTTGTTAAATTAACTAGTTGCAGTGTCATAGGATTTCCTTTTGGTTTGCCTGGATTAACGGTAGCTGCACCTTGAAATGGCACTTTTGCATAAGTGAATGGATACTTTAAAAGAGTTTTGTTGTTTGCAGGAAACTTACTGTTAATCTTGGCAAAAGTTTTCATAATCTTATCTCTAAAAGTTAACCAAGCGTCGAGATCATCAGGAGGCGGCATGTATGCTTCTATATTATGCACAGTATTCGATACCGTATTCAAAATATCAGTTTTAATGGACATCCAGTCTAATGTCGGATCTTCTGGTTCTTCAGCTAACTCTGTTGGCATAATCGATTTGTCGGCAATTATCTTATCATGAAGAGTATTGAAACGAGCTTTAATATCCTCTCCGAAAGTAGCCCACGCTGGATCGCTAGGTCCAGGCATGTTAGAAGCAATAGTCGTTAAAGCATCGTCAAGAGAATTGATTATGTTGCCTTTAAAATTTTTCCAATCAAAAATGGCTGCAATACCTTCTTTATTTACTGCCATTTCCATGGTTTTATTTTTCAATAGAAATTTAGAAAATATATCTTGCTTTGCAGAAATAATTTGAGATACCAAATCGGCCGTTTGATTTTTGATCTTTGTTTTTAGGCCGATCCAATCGGTAGTAATCAATGGAATACTTCCAAATCCTCCAATGGTATCATTCAATGTTTTCACGATTTCGCTTTTAAAATTCATCCAATCGATAAGCATGGCTGCTCCAGGAGGACCTTTTAAAATGAAACTGCCATCTTCGTAAGGTGTCATTTCCACTGGTTTCTTTGTTGGATGTAAACTGTTAAGTTGGTTCCTAATTTCCGCAAATGTGTTATTCAATTCATTATGAAAATCTAACCATTCGGGACTAGCCGGTGGTAGTTCAGTTTTAGTATTGTTAATATATGTCACTATTTCTTGAATTGTATCGTTTAAAGTTTTCTTGAAATTTAACCAATCCACAGCGAACGGAGTTGCTTTTAACATTGGTACCTTTTGACGATTTTCCTTCCAAGGCTCAAGAGACATTTCCGGTAAGTCTTCGCATACCATCATTGGATTATGAATATCAATCGATTGCATTACTTTTGATTGAATTTGTGTTATATGATCAGAACAGTCACACAATATTCTCGCTAGGGAACTTTTACGTATTTCTTGTAATTGTTCTGAAATCGATAATGTTAAGAATTAAAACGTTTGATTACGTATAATTAAAGATATATACGAGTATATGAGTATATTAGAGAAATATATATTTTACCTTCCGTAAAGGAATGTGATTGACCTGGCACCTCGTACCAATATCGATCTCCTTTCTGCAATCTAGCGAACTGATCAGCAATTAAACATGTAAAAGTAGGTCCAACGATCCCATCGGTTTTCGGTATTTCCGCCAATGCTCCAGTATATAGATCAATATCGTAAACAGATTCGTATAGCTTTGATATTGCATCGAGGGCTTCGGGATCCATGTGATCGATCAGATCACTAAACGATTCGGGTTTCCCTAAATTACAATATTCTCTCCATTTAGTATAACCAGGTAGTCCGTGATCCCTCCCACGTTGAATATTCAACGATACGAGATCGAGACCACAAGGTATTGAAACGTTGTTAATCGGATCTTCGAAAAGATGTCTCGTTAATTGCGATGTGACATGAATTGAAGTCCTTTGAATGGCATTGCTAGTAGCCGAAATTATCGAATTACTAATACCATCACTCGAATATAGACTATACGGATTGAAAAGCATCCTGTGAAGTTCGATGTAAGAGGAAGTACCTTTTTGAGCGTCCGTCATCATCATCAAACCGGGCAAAAGTGTATGAGCAAACCTAAAAGCTGCAGCAGCAAAGCTATTGGCTATAGTCGGATCGTTGCTCAGATCGTCGGGATTCTCGTTCCATTCTCTATAACCCGTAGTCAATGGTTTCAAATTTTGAAGATTCGCCTCCTGCTCTCCTATTATAATAGGAAGAAATTCTTCATATGTAATATGCTGAAGTTGAGCGCCAATAATACGACGAGCTTCTTGATAAATCTGTTCGTCCGTCCAAATAGGATTAACTTTGGCCAATTCGTCAGCAATTTTGTTGTGTTGTCTTGCCCAAATTAAATGCATAGTCGTTAAATGTAAATTCTCATTCGCTCTTGGATCCCCTGCGAGGAAACAATAACGTCCTCTTAGACTTTCTTCCTCTCTGTTACATCCGTCATCGGGATTTAAACTAGGTGGTAAAAGAGTTCTGTTATCTGGCGTTATTTGCATCTTCAATCGTCCACCTGAGAATTCTCGCAAACTGTGAGCAACATTCGAGTCCGATCCATATATTGCTGAACCGTCGATAAAAGCGGTCACCTAAAAGTAATTTATTATTCTAAACAATTGACGCAAGATCAGAAAATGAAAAAAATGATAAACTAAATAAATAGTTCACCTGATTAAGTTGTTCCCTTGGTCCAATTTTACATTGAGGAGCTGGTGCCGATCGAACGAATTCCATACAAGTTTTTCCGGTTACATCGTAAACGGGATCACCCGATCCTACAGAAACGGGAAAACATTCTGGATGACCAACGGAAGGTGGGCAGCAGGAGATGGAACTACCGTTAACGCCCTGACTGATCGCTGTGGCAGTGATATCGTGATCGAGAAACTGGCCAAACACAGCTAGCATCACAGTGAACGAAGGATTCGAACTGGGCGAGGGCTTATGAACCTTTAAACTGACCTCTCTTGCTGAAGGTAACTCATTTCCGGAACGTGCTATTCGAGGCGAATCGAATCCGTCAGCGTAATCTGCTGGTATGAGTCTTCTAAATGGCATCAAAGCCGAGCCTCGTTGCTTCGGGCGATTGCAGGTGCCGTCGAAACTCCTATATTTGCCGATAGTACAATTTACATTTAAAAACTCTTTGCAAACATCTTTCGGTGCCCAGCCACCGTCGAAAAGATAACCGATGGCTGAAGGTTTGCCTAAAAAGGATCTTGTGCTTTCGATCTTCTTTGTAGCAGCTATCTCACCAATGGCAGCTAAAGCTAATCCACCGACGTTTACATTCGTTTTGACTGCCCATCGATGTCTCGATTCTGGCGATGGGGATGGTAAAGGCGAAGACAATGCCGCTATATCAGCAGAAAGTCTCAATTGTACAGCTAATTGACCAGCCAATAGAGCTTCTTTCAATTCAGTATCAGTCAAATTCTGTATTGTTGACAAATTAACGTTACTATCTGCTCCATAAACGAAATGATTAACAGCATCTGTAGTACTGGTGAAAGTGTGCGAATCGAATCCTGAAGGTAAACCCAATTTCAAAGTAACACTATCGTTTGGTTCCGATGAGTCCGTTGTACTCGATGTCACATTAGATGTCGTTCCATTTTCAGAATGACTCACGGAATAACTGACCGTCACAACCAATGCTATCGTGAATATTGCTCTGAAAAAATCCGACAAATTTTCAATTAATAGATGATTAAATAATTAAAAAGAAAAATCCTATTTATTATTTCCTAATTATGTTTATTTTTTTCTTCCTCTTGTTCTCAAACGAAATCGAATAAGACAAATATTCTTGCAATTAGTATTTCGCTCTCTCTCTTTTCCTCTCGTTCTTGTATGCTATGTTAAACTACAAAAAAAGAAAACTCTCAATCGAGATCGCGAAATTTATTCAGTAATTACAGATTTTTTCGATTCGAGTCCGGTCGAGAGTACTTAGACCTCAAAGTTTATTCCAATTATATTCAGTAGAATGTCGTAGTTACATAACCGAGGGCGACGTTATCCTTACGTTATGTAAATCGATCAGAACTCAAAGTGTTGAAGTAATCTTAATTGCAATTAACAGAGAATAAGAGAGGGGATTAGAGAGAAAGAAAGAGAGAAAGAGAGATAGAGAGTATTAGAGTAAGAAAGAAGACGAGATGAGAAGGAGAAAGGATGAAGGTGGGAGTAAGGGTGAGGAGGAGAGGAGGGGTAAAAATCGGACGTCGTAACGCCTGTTCGCTGTTCGATTACTCGTTTAATCAAGGTCGACGTCACGTAACGCGAATCGACCTACGTTTAAAATACACAATGTCGTTATATGCATTTGATATAATATATTATAACTGTATATTGTATTGTATTCGTGTGTTCATTTAAGCCGCATAGAATCGACGCCATTTTAGAATTATATCATCTATGGTTCCGGACGATGAAACGTGAACGTTGATACGCGACAAATTTGATACATGGAACAGCCATATATTAACGGCATGTAATAAACGTAATGTCGTGTACTATGTTCGTACTTTAATTATCACGCATGTATTTTAAATCAAATATCTCGACTATTTCCCGGTTCTTCGCTCGATTAATTATTATCATCCGAAAGCAACAAAGCCTTCCGATTCGTATGAACAATCGTAAATCATCGAATTTTTAGAGAAACAATGATATCTCGATGATATTATATTTCGAAAGTTCACAATTCATTAACGTAGTATATTCTTTTGTCTTTTTCTTTGTATTATATCGATCATTCTATTAGATTAAAGTTAGCTAAAATATAAAGAATAAATCTTGAGAAATTGGTAAAGAAAATATAAATTGATCGAACTCACAGTGCAACAAGAAATGTAAGAAATTGTATTCGTAGTTCCGTTCTCCTCCTATGCGAATAAAATTGGTGAGTGTCGTGAACGTAATACGATTGCGGTTCCGCGGCATGGGCCAACGGAATCTTCTCTGACGCGGACATTTTTCCGTCCGCACGTTAACGCGTCAACAGATAAACTAAAACGTATTGGTATAACGATATAGGCCTCGAGGTGAGTTAAGAATTTACGTAAGTAGAAACTACTTACGAAACGTAGATATAAGATTTTTTTCTTGTTTTTTATTCAAATGCGTGGCTTACAGGTTACGCAGCGATCATGCGCTCGTTTGAAAATCACACGGAGAATCACTTTTCTCTATAAAAATGAATAATCAATAACATTGCAAAAAAAGACACGATATTTCTTTTACAATATTAATACTTTTAATAAAATCACAAGATCACATGCAGGTAAATACTTCTCGTAAATTCGCATAACGAACTTGTGTAATGAACGGGTGTGGTGAACGAAGGATAACGAGAATAGATACGGTGCTACAATGAAAGAAGAAAGAAATGAAAAGAAAAGAAAAAAAAGGTATAGAAGGTACGAAATAATTAACGATAGAATGGGTACCTTCCTTCCAATTCCACAGCTTGTTCCTGTTTCCCCGTTCCTGTTTCCCCGTTCCTGTTCCCGTTTCCAAGAAAAATCGAGGAATCGTTTGAAATTTTTTCTCGTGTCTCTCGCTTTTCCAACCCTAGATAGGTAGATAGTAGTAGTAGCTACCTATCTATTTCCTACGTTACATTGTCGTGTAATTAAGTAAAGGTATTTAATTATGAGAGCGTATACTCTTCTCGACCCCGGTGCATTCCCAAAGTGTTGAGAGAATTCAAGCATGCAGTCTCGTAAATCAAATTAAAAGCCCGTAAACAGATCATCCAGAAGTTAATGATCGTAACGTAAAGCAACGCGTTACGTGGAATATCATTTAGTATTCGTAATACGAATATTAAGCGATTTAACGGACAGAAAAATGGTCGTAACGTGTAATTTTCGAAAACGTTCTCAACCCTGTCGAGAATAGGTATCCATGAGAGAAGAAAATGTGTTTCGCCTCGTTAATAAGCTGATATCTAACGGTACTAAACCAATACTAAGCTATCTAATTATGTTTAACACGATGTAATATCTACATATAATTATGATAGTTGGATAATTATCAATAATTTTAAACACAATTCTTTTATATTATTATTTTATATTACAAACATTTATATTATATAAATTTGTTAAATTAGTTAACTATCATAATTACCAATCCATACATAAATGATGTTACTTCATTGTTTCTTTTTTATTTTTTCAAGACAATTACACACAAATATTCGACTTACATGAGACTGGCACAGATGCAGCATTGAAAGTTTCGAATTTGAGTTCTCCTCGTTCTCAAGATACTCGAAAATTCAAGATGATCCGATGAATCGGATTGTCTGGTCAACGAAGTTCTTTCTGTTACACGCATACTTCGTCGTGCGCGCACGGGCGCGCACGCACGATTTTACAAGATGAAAACACAAAAAATAGAAAAGAATTATTGATTAGAAGGTAAAAATGAAAAAGAACAAGAAAAATGGTACAAAATGTAAAATTGAATTCTTCGAAAAGGAGATTAAATTCGAGCAAACTTTTCAATTTGATTTTAAGTACGTTGACCGATAAACGAAAAGACTGCGACGATGACGATGGTTATGCTAACGCTCGATCACTACCAACACTCTCTTTCCCTTGTTGTCTCTCGTCGACTCTTCTCCCAACTCAGTTCACCTTACTACAAGATCGTACTGTCCTATAGGATAAAAAAGGTTTCAAGAGGGGTGGTAGCCGAACCAACGATGCTTTTATATGTGATCTATTTTTTATTTTTTGTTTTTAAATGATATAAGACCATTTATTCTTATTTTTAAATAATTAATGTATTGATTTAAAAATATTAATAACTGTTAATGAATTAGGACAATGTTTTTAATAAAATTAACATGTTCCATTTTATTGATCCATTAATAATTAATGAAACTTTTATAAAAAGCGAGGTTTTCTTTTTTAATTATAAATGAAATTATATCAAAGTAATTTTTATCTTTTTTAACACACAAATTGTTCTGAAAAATATTAATCTAATTGATAAATAAATGAGATTACAAATAAAGAATGTACGTATTAACATAAAATCATTTTTTTTTTTATTAAATCAATAAAATATATATAAAACATTTGGAAATAATGTTATGTCAATGATCGTAAATAATTTCTAAGAAAATATTTAGTTGATTACAAAAGAAAAGTTAATCAATAAAATTAGATTCAAATGTAGTCAATTAGAAGTAAAAAATAAATTTGAAAAAATCACAAATCTTTGTAAGAAAATAGTAACTAAATAATAGGATGATAACGCTGAACGATTCGACAAGACACTATAGTAATTGTATACAAGTATTTATGTATATTTTTGCATCGATAAAAATATGACGGACTGGTTATGTTACATAAAACCAATCGCGAATAGAGGAATCGAGAATGTAACATGAGTCAGCATGATGTATTTTTATTTTGTGGTATAAACCAATGCGAGCTGAAGTCAAACACGAATAAAAAAACACCTGAGATGATTTCGATAAAATACCAATAATTTCAATTAATCTATATAAGGAACAATAATAATATAAACATTATCTGTTATATAAAGTAATTTATAATTAGAAGAAAAATTATACAAATCAAAGCATTGAATTATTAATTAAGTTGTATATTGAATAAAATTCTCTTTAATTGTTAAACAGTAATAAATAAAAAAAAAATATATAACAAAATATACATATAATATGTATATAAATGATTCGAAGTTTTCAAAGGTCAATGATCGTCAAGAAATGGATTACTATCTAGACGCGAAACGTAAGACGATACTTCGGCCATGCATGAAGAGGCTTCTGTACTTTGTTGGGCTTCAACGTGAGTACAAATAAGTAGAATAAATCACGTAATTTGCTCAAATTATACCGTTATAATCTTAAATTATTAAATTTCTCGATAAATCAAGATTATATTCGAAATAATTAACCGATTATATGAAAATAAATAATCTTATTAAATTTCTTCGATTACAAGAATTATTTCAAAGAATTATTAAAAATGTGAAACGATTCTTTTGTAGAAAAAATAAAAAATAAACAGCATCTAAGATAAATAAACAAACAAAGAAAATAGAAGTTAGAAGTTAGAAGAAGAAGAAGAAGTCGTCCAGGGGTATACTGGTTGAATTTATTTCACTTATTCGGTACAGCAAAAGTTGTATCGCTTCGGAGCTCGAAGTTCGAGCCATTGTTCCTGATTCGGGACATACATTTCCGCTGGCATCCGCTCGAGACCGGGTGATTCCGGTGATCCGCTATCATTTGTCCTACGAGCTGAAGCACGGAACATACTTTTGTACTTGTTGCGTGAAAGAGAGAGTGAATGGAGATGACGGAGACTAATTACTTTCTAGCCACTTGAGAAATGCTTTCTCGAGTGCTACTATCTCTCTCTCTCTCTTTTCCTTTCTTTATTTCTCTCTCTCTCTCTCTCTCTCTCTGTTTTTGGATTCTCAACAAAGACGTCGACTCAGAAATCCCCGATTATTCTCCCGAAGAAGCAAAATACACTTACCAAGTCGTTTGTGCATAGCAATCGCTTCTCCTGGATGCCTAAGAAGAAGTCGTCCGACACCCTCGCAACGTCGTAACACTTCATTCTTCAACAAGTGATTTCTCACATTTTGCGAAATTATCGGGCATCCTTTTACCCATGTAGAAACGTAAGCAAAATCTGTTAGTAACTGAAAAGCACCATATTCGCTGGAAAAATAAAAAAAATATAGAAAAGGTAAGAAAAATGAATAATTAAAATTGAAATTGATTTAATTCTTTATTATACGTTAACGAATCGTATTTACCTAAATTTAATACGATGTAAATATATGTAATCGAGCCAAGCCTCGCACATTATTTTTAAGATCATATTAGAAATATCAGGATCCTCGATAACCTCGAGAACCGGTAACAACACCTTTTCTAAAAGAAATGTCCTTGTTAAACATTCATTGAAATTTTGTAGTTTTTAAGAAAATATACGTATGCACGTGCATTAGGATCGATGCTTTACCAAAATAAGTTTCAACGTAGAGACTTGCTGTCACAGGTGCCACATCGCTGTTCTTCCTCCAGTAATTTGATCGTGGGAAGCACATGTGTAAATTCGCAAGGCTAACCACACGACAAATCTTGGCGAGAATGTCCATGCACTTTGCTGGTGTATCCTGTCGATTCGCGAATATCCGATATGTAAGTAAAAAAAAATAGCCTACTTTTAAATATTGTAAACTCAGATTTCTTTCATATAAAAAACAATGTCAAACTTGACAACACAATTTAACATCGATTTTAATATCTGTCATTTTATTTAAAGAAAAATAATGAAATAATTATATATCATTATTCCAATAAATACAGCTTGTTAAAACTTTAAATATAATTACTTATTATTAAATACTATATTGATTGTTCAATATAATTTTATTTAAAGAATAAACTTTAGATAAATTATGGTATTACCTGCAACAACTGTACGTTGGCGTTCACCTCGGAAACGATTTTCGCTCTCATTTTGACGCAAACGAGCACTTGAACGCTAACGGATTCCTCTGAAAGTGCACTCGAATGATCAGCGAGCTACAATCGATAGAGATTTGATTCGACAATTGAATCTGATTTTAGAAACAGAGTAAGTATACTCTAAAAATACGTTTTAATGATAAGATTAAAAGAGATCGATATATATATAAATGACTATGCATAGAGTCTATTTGACATAACCGACAAACTATCCTCGACAGTGTTTACAGCGATGTTATATTAACGGCATATGTTTTCATTGATAAATCTTTTTCACAAATTTATACAAACAATTAAACATATATAATAAATATAATTATTCTTTTCAGTCAATGCTCAATCTTGTATCCTGTTAGTTTTTATATTTTCATATATAATCATGTGACCATTCAGAAGAATATAAAAATATCCATTTAATGTTAAAAGTATTAAAAAGTATTAAAAATTTAAATTACGAAAGTACTACTGATAATTACGCTTTACTTCGAAAAAAAAGGTTACTGTAGAATATAATAAATCAAATTATTTGTATAAAAATATGGATTGATGACAAATAATAAATAAAAAAAATAGTATCAAACAATGTCTAAACTTTGAACAATGATATTCAATAAAAAAAAACGTATAGACGTTTAATAATAATTTTGACCTTGAGATAGGATAATTCTTCGAGAGAATTGACGACATCGCCCTTGACCATTAAAAATAAGACATCCAAATCCCAAGTGTGAGCTATCATCTTGGATTCCTGCATGACCCAGAGCCTAGCAGTGTGGACCGAGTGATCAAGTCTGTGAAGGACGACGATCTGTTCCGAAATCGGCAATTCCATTAACGGCGCGCCGATCACCCATTCACCTCCAACCTCGCACTCGTTGCTCAGCGTTACCAGTAATTGGAAAAGCTCGGTGAACATTTGACCCGTGTCCGTGCCCTAGAAAACGGTTAAAGGGAGATCGTTAAAAGGGTTATAATTAAATCCAACACGATGGTCAAGATATTTGAAATTTAAATTCTATATACCTACTACGAAGTATATTATTAAAGAAAAAAGGAAAGAAAAAAAGAGAAAGAGAAAGAGAAAGAGAAAGAGAAAGAGAAAGAGAAAGAGAAAGAAAGATAGATGAGCATATACATATTCATTTAACATCCATAATGCATTTAACGAATTAAGGTAAAATTACGTCAATATAAATAACAAAATTAAAAAAATATTAATTATTTGATATTAAAGAAAATACATTTATATAATATATACAATTAAACAAATATAACAAATAAAATACAATTAATATTGTTACAACTAATTGTAAAGAGAAAAAAGTAATAGAAAGAGAGAACGAATAGGAAAGAAATAAAAACCGACCTCAGAAGTAGAAGGTCTCGATTGGTATTCAAAAGCAGACGTATACGCTAATCGAAATAATTGATCCCAAGATGTAATAGTAACATGATAACCGAGAGCATCGCATAAGTTTTGTAAAGCAGGTCTCACCGTCAGCGGAACTAAAATATCATTATCGAATTATTCAAACTCTTTAATTTCTAACATTTAATATATTCCACAAAGTGATTACGTGCCTCACCCGCATTTTTTTGAATAAATTGTCTCAACCAGTTTTTCAAATGTTCCGCACCGTGACTATGATGAGAAGCCAAAGCTTCCGGTGACCACCAAAGAACAACGTGATCCAACATCCCGGAAAGAGCTGCCCAAGCAACCTCTTGGTAATAATTTTTTACTTTTCTTATTGCGCTACCTTTCAATCTCTTTTCTCCTATAAACAATTCGATATAACAATATTTAACTCGAATTCATTTTTATTTCAATATACTTTTGAACGATCACGAATGTACTCGTGTTTGTACTTGTAACAATTTATTGTTAAAATAGAAAAATGTGCAACTCGTTATTGTAATATTATTTATTGTATTTGATAATTTTAAAATAATAAAATTTTGTGCTATTATCAATTTTCAAGAACTTTTTATAATTTATTTTAATTATTCATTTAGCTACTATGAAATACATTCAATTTTTGCATATAATAGTCAGTCAAAAATATGTTAATTGTTATAAATTATATAGATTCACTATTCAATTAAACAAGATCATTAATTAGCCTTTGTTAAGTGATATATCAAGTAAAATAATCATGAGTCATTGAATTCTTTATTAAAAATTAAACTAATTTCCTGTAAGGGCTACTTTTAACGTATAACATTATTATTATAATTAATATTATTACGAGAAATTTTCTTCGTTGAAGTTAACTAATGAACAACTTTCGACAAGTAACTTTCTATTTTCAAAAGAAAAGTTCTTGAAGATGCTCTCTTTATATATATATATTCGCGTTAAATTTCTTTTTACAGAAGAATCATTACTTCAAAAGAAAATGAGGAAGGATCTTACCTTCGGTGATCTTCAAAGCATCGGAACCAAGCAACTGCGGTGAAATATCTCGGACGATACTGAGGAGTCTAAGGACTTGTTCATTCTGAGTATTTACAAGTGCTTGAATACTCTCAAGATTTGATGCTTGCGTTTGTTGAAATGTCGAGGCATCGTTTGCAATAGGTGGCGTCAAGTGTCTCGTGAGTGCTCTAAAAGGATGTTAAATTCAAATATTATTAATTTACCTACCATCATAAATTATAACTACAGCATTAAATCGATCGAATCTATTAAATATGAACCAATCAACCTATATATTTCGATGCTAGAATTTTCAGAAACGTCAACGTCCGTGGGTGTTAATGTAACGTTTTCTTTTGTATGTGGTTCGTAATTTGCTAACAGGCAATCGATTAACTCATGACACGTTTCCTCTGCACGATTTTTCGCCAATATCTACGATTATTAACAAATTTGTATGTCTAATAATTAAATCAATAAATTGAACTACTTACTTGTAATATTTTAGTTACAGAAAATTTCTTCAAAGGTTCTAACAAAGATGGACAATCATTGCAAAAAACGTTGACGGACGAATCCGTAATAATGTGATCCACATCGAGCATCTTGTTATATGAGTTGACCAATTTAAAAATAATTTGAAGTATCTCGTCGCTCTTCGAATCGACTATTTCGGTTATAAGATTACGGGTGAACTTTGCGACTACGTTGAGTTTTTGTTTTAAAATTATAGAGAAATGTTGTATTTTATACTTGTAAATCGGATGCGACGTCTCTATCATATCGTTCCACAATGATTGATAACATTTCACTATATCCTCAAGGTTATTAATGATCTCTTCGAATACCTGCAATCACGTTACGATTCGCGTATAATCAAAAATTTGATTATCTTATTTACTTATATATATATAAAATTCAAAATCCAGTCGAATACTTTAAAATAATAAGAGTTAGAAAGAAAGAATAAGAGAGATGAAGATGAAGTGGTACGATTATAATAATTAAAAGCAATAGTTCCCTACCTCGAAATCATAAGCTTGTGCTTTCTCAAAATCCTCGATGATTAAGGCTATACGTTCCGCGAGTTTGCTCATCTTCTCGTTTAACACGGAAGAGTCTGCCAGCCAGTTCTCGAGGGCAACTCCAGGAAGGGGTAGCCACTTGGCGATATTCGCTCTGTAATTAGTATCCATATGTCTCCTTGATGACGGCTACTCCTGTATATATATATGTATATATATATATATATGTATATGTATATGTATATGTATATGTATATGTATATGTATATGTATATAACAACGTTAAAGTGTGTAATTTAGCTAATTCATGATAAACCTACCGTCTTATATGTAGTAACTAGGGATTTTAAAAGAAAGCAAAGAAAAAGAAAATTTTATTACACACTTAAAATGTTTGTTTTATGAAATAACCTGATAAAATATGAATTCACGAGAAATAGAAGTAGTTTTAAAGTAGAGATTTAAATTTGATTCGTCTTTAAAGTCTGTTTTTCTTTCTACATTAATGCTAGTAGTTATTCGTTTTTATCTCTTTCTGTACTCTGAAAGCCAATGTTCTGTTAGTGGTGCTGTTCAGTGTTTTAATCTGCGGATCAAATTTTAGTTTTATACTTTAACTACTTGCCTCTCGTAAATTCTTACATTACTTAGTTAAAGTATGTAATTCTGCTTTCTTTCACACTTTAACAGGTTCAGTATAATTATTTCATGGCTTAGCTGGTTATTTCATGAATTAATGGATTTCAAGTTTAACAATAACATATATGTATAACATTTATATCCATTTACTCTTCCTTTTCATTCGATATAATTGTTTCTTCTTATTATTATCTTCTTCTTCCTTTTTCTTTTTCTTCGTAAATCTTCTCTAATTTTCTTCCACATTTACTTCCTTTTCACAAATTAACATAACATATCAATTAAAATCACAATTATTTTTATAGATCTATTATTTCTCATTTTTTCTTTAAATATCCGTCGATAAAACTTTTAATAAATAATTACTTTTTTCTTTTTGCTCTGTGAACAATGCAAACAGTTTGATGAAGCAATATAATTTACTGTACATCAACGGTTACCATGGATACCTTGGCGCATGACACTGTCAAGACATTCTAATAGAAATGCATATTTAAATATAGTAAATAATTAGTAAAACTCATTGTTTTCTTCGTATTTTGTATTTGTTCAATATTACTAAATCTATTTTTTAAAGAAATATATTTGTAAAATTATTGTTTATCGATCAAACATCTCTGTCAAATTATTTGTCATTGATTATTCTACGTTACTGATTATTTTTTTAATTAGCAAAAATATTGAATAACAAATAGCAGATATAAAAGATAATTCATAAAATTTATTAATAAAAGCAGAACATATTTTTAAAGTTCAAATAAATTAAAACATCAGTTGGTACAACAGAGAGAGAGAGAGTTTTCTTGCATAGAATTCTACTTTACCGACACTACATTGTGAGCACGTTATCTTCTGTCGGTAAAGTAAAACAAAATCTAAGAAATGTAACAATTTCTCTCTTTTATACACTCTAAGTAATATATTATCCGTGGATAAAATAAAATCGAAATCTATATACGAGTTTGCCATCTTTAAATTTGTATGAACGGATAGTACAGTAACGAGGTCATTAGAGAAATTTCCCACTGTGTTTTTGACAAGAAATCTTTCTGTTAATTTAATATAACATAAAAAAATGTCGGGCATTCGTACCACGTTGTACAACATTTTCCTAAAAAGATCATCTACGTATGCTGTCACTATAATAACCGGAACTTTTATCTTCGAACGAGCTTTCGATTTAGCCAGCAATAAAATGTTTGAATCAATCAACAAAGGAGTGAGTAGAAATTATTAATTAATGTTAATATTGTTAATAATGTTAGCAGTTAGGTGTTCTAAAACAAGTTGTCTATATTGTCAATAACCTTAATTTGATATCTTACATTTGAGAATAAAGTAAACTGTCATGAAAAAAATGAGTAATGAATTCTGAGAACGATCAAGTAGAATTATGTAATTTAGTGATGCAGGCATGTATAATAATCTATTAAATGACTGTAAAATAACTTCTAAGTTAATTTAGATGAAAATTATGAAACTCATATTGCATAAAAGAAGTATACTAACAAAATAAATTTATATTTTTTTTTTATTATAGAAACTATGGAAAGACATCAAACACAAGTATGAAGTAAACTGAATGGGTGGATTAAATATTTTATACACTAGTTGTATATTTAATAGATATTTGTTTTCTCTATGAGAATGTAAATAAAAAAACAAGTGATCAATAATAAATAAAGTATTTTATTTCTATTCTGTTCTGCATGAAGCAAAACAACAATTATTGATTATTTATATGACCGTCATATAAATCTAATCATGATTTTACTTTTTCGTTTATTGTTTTGAAAAAAGAAGACTTATTATTTCTAGTCGATTATATTTAAAAAATGAGATATTAAATATGTACATAGTAAACATGAAATGTAAGTCTTTAATAAAAAAGAAAAGTATTTATGTAAACATATATTTGAAAGTACATTATTCTTTATTGAATAGTACTTTAATTACTTAAATTAGGATGCATGTAACGACCAGCAAAAAGAGTTGCATTTGTTTGCAAGTCTACTATAGCAAAAAGGAATGGATGATTGGCTCTGAATATTTCCTTATTTGATCCCATTAGTGGCACAATTGATAATTCTGTAAATATATTTAATCGTTTCGATTATTTTATCATTTAGGATAACAATCAACATTTTGACAGAATTATATTACCTGTTATTGCAGATGCAACAGTTCCTTCTTCATTAACTTCTATTTTAGCATTTTGTATAATATTTTTAACATATATACGACTGTCTTTTACAATATCGGAGAAATCTGCGCTCCTATTAAATATGCTACGAATTCCCAGCTAAAAAGAAATTTGTATAAATAAAAAAATGATATAAAATAAAGAATATAATTACATAATAGTGATACTCACAGATTTCAGTACAGATTTAAGATCAAGTTTATTTTCTATAGAAAACTTGGGAATTATCAGATTAACTTCTGTTAAATAAATATTTGCCAATAATGCAGAAATAGATACATAAGACAAGTCCTTTGACAAAATTGTAAGATTTGGATCAATTTCCTTATTATTAGGAAGTATAATTAACATAACAGTCTTTCCATCCTAAAAAATAAAAATTGTACATTATTCTTTATATGTATAAATCCATTCATTTTTACCATAAATTAAACTACAAAGAATAATGTTGTTTCGTACAGTATATGGTATCTCTACTACATCTGCATTCAAGGATTCAATATTTCCAAAACGATATTCAGCTGTATTAGCTATAAAGTCAGTATTTTGACAACCAATTTTAGGAACATAAAAACAATCATTGAATCCTGCTTTTTTATTAAACGATAACTGCCACCGTCCTTTGAAATATAATGCTGAGGTCAAAATTAAAGTTGTATCTGCACTAATACTGCCTGCAACAAAAAGATAATCATATAAATATTATTAACAATATAAATAGATCACATAGTCGAATCAAATTTTTACCAACCAGGATCTGAAATTGATTGAATGTTGTTATGTGTTGCTGTGCGTACCCAGTCATTAATTATTTGTTCCGCAGTATCTCTGTTACTAAAGTCAAGAAATTGAATGTCTGCATCATAAAATTGTCTTAGAACAACATTGTAACTTGGCGTTATTGGTAAACTGTTTCTAGCCCACAATCGAGTTGCTCCATCTATTTCTGTACCATTTTTTACACTCTATGGGACAAAGATATTGTAAATATACACATATATATCTTTTGTCTATAGAAAAATTATTACTAATTTAGTTATTCAAGGAATTACTAATCGATGTGAAAACATACTTTCAAGGCGGTAACAGCACGCTGAGAAATAACCCTGATTTGATACACATTTTCAGTTAATCTCAATGCACTGTATATTTCTTGACGAGTTTCTCCTTTTGCACCTTCAGCAAGAATTGTTAAAGCTAACTTGATATTTGTAGGTGATAATATTACATTTCCATCGTTTTCTTTAATTATTGCCTAGAAATAAAATATTTTATTAATGAATTATATAATGTAAATACAATCAATTGCATTCTATTTCTTTTGAACTTGTTCTTACTTGCAACAAATCGATGTTGAAAAAATTGTATCGATCCTCTCCAGTAGGTATTGATGATGACACATCTATAAACAAAAGAAAAAAAAGAGAATTATTATTATTATTATTATTATCATTATTTAAAATTATCTAATAATATTAATTATACTTTCACATAAAAATACTACAATAGCAGATACAAAGAGCGTAGCTATTTATATACTTGATTACTAAATCCCAAATAATACAGTCACTGAATTAAATTTGAAAGTTGCTCAACATAACTCAATGATATTTTTCTGATTTATTCACAAAAGAATTACGTTTTCAAATGAATATATAATTTACAAATACTTCATACACATATGCGTGTAAATATACGCAATTATTTTTAAATAGATTTCTATTATATATGTATATACATATGTATGTACCTTTCAAAAATAACACGTTGATAACGAACAACAATGATATTAATTTCCACATATTTTGTCAATATATAGTTAACACTAAAGGAATAATTCGTTATGTAAATCGAACACTTGAATGCTCTGAGTCTCTCTTACTTTTATAATTAAATGATTCCGTATGATTTTATATATAGCGTTACGATCAAGGCAAACATCGGCGATGAATTAAAGCGTCTTTTATGTCCGATGTTCATCGTGAATCACATGGTCCCCACTTTAGAAACCAGAGTTTATAGAACTTGTAATTCAATGTAAACGAATGCAGATTACAAATATCAGTAAATTCTTCGTATTTTATTCAATAATCTATATCATTTTTTTTCTTTTTATATTATTTTATTATATATGCAATAATAAAATGATTTACGTTTTTTTGTTTTTTTAATTATATTTCGAATAAAATAAACATTTTTAACGCGTATCATTAATTAGATAAAGGAAGAACAATTATTTGCAAAAATCAATAAAAACTCTGACAAAAATTATGACAAATGGGAAATATCCCATATCAATTTTTAAACAACTTTCCTTATCCCTGATTTCTTGTCTCCTAAACAATTAATACCATTTTTCTTATCGAACAAGTCGTTTATATACAGGGTATCTAAAATGTTTGAGACCAAACTTATATTATGTATTACTGAAATCAAATGAATGTAAAAAAAGTTCATATAAACTTATGTCCGAAGATGTTTTATTGGAAAAATATAAATATTTATAGATTTATCTTAGAATCTTACGACATATTATAATTGTCAATGATTCATTTGTATTTTAAATAATCCGATTTAATACCTCTGGACTTCTATTTATAGGATCACGCAAAAGAGTTGATTTATAAAAATACAATTGAAACAATAAACAAATTGTAGGAATGTATTCCAAATACATTTATTATTATTTTTTTTTTTTCTAATAAAGTTGAAATTCAATTCGGCAAGCTTGTATTCTTGCAAAAAAAAAATTACTAAAATAAATTATAAATGTTTTTAAAAGCATATATTTTTTCAATAAAGCATTTTCGGACATAACTTTTTTCATCTATTTGATTTCACATCAGTAATACGTAATATAAGTTTGGTCCCAACCTTTTTGGACGCCCCTATATGCTATTTGTATAAATATAAACACAAAGAAACGCTTAAAATTCGACGTATCTATTAAGATTTATACGTGTGTGTGTGGAAACGTAACACACTTACGTTGAACAGTAAAACGGATATATTATAAGAGTTTGGAATTTCCATAGTGTTTACGTCATCGGAACGCCCCAAAGGTACGCATATATATAAAATTGTCCTTACAATAATATTTGTATAGGAAATTAATTGTTTGTTAATAAAAAATTATGTTTAAACCAAATATTTTTCATGCATTATCAAAATTTCATTTGCACAAAATCGATTACTTATTTTATGTTAATCACGTTTATAATAATAGTTTTAATAATTATTATGCCACGTACAAGACTTTAAAACTATTAATAGAATAAATAAAACAAAATACCAATTGTTTATTTTCCTGGCCAAATTAGAAACACATAAATTTATTTAATTGGAAATTTCAAGACAAAGTGAAAAGAAATTGTAATTAATATTATATTACATCTGTAATCTTATGAAAGTAATTCGTTTAGAGAAATAATTGACGGAATTACAGATACGATCAGAAAAATATGTTATGAATATATTAAAAATACGTTTTACAGACATTTGTTTTTTTTTTATAGATGACACATTCAAATTAAACATAATTATTAATAAAATACTTTGTGAATAAATAACAGACTACATTGGTATACTAGATAATGTTAAAGAATAAAAATTAAATAAAGAAAATTCTAAACACTAAAAGAACTATAAAATAGCATTATGATAAGCACTAAAAAGTAATAGAAACATGAAGGATGAAAGAAATATAATAGTACAAGAGAAAGAATTGAAAAGTTAAATATCCACACTTTCGTCCAAAATTTCATTCATTCCCCCTTACACCTCATCCACTGCATTCTCACTCATTTCCACATATTTATTCTATACGTATAATGTTATTCACATGATAATTTTCATTCTTCTGTGAACGTAATGAGTAAAAAATTGTTGAAAAACCGAAAAAAAAGATATTTAGGAAAAGTCATCAAAAAGAACACATTTCTGTTATTATATTTCGAAGTTAAATTTACAAAGGTATTAAGGTTTAATATTTTTTTACTTAAATTCATATAATACACGAATTTTATTTTTAAATTATATTTATCTTGATTCTCTTTTTTTCGTTTATCTATGCGATTCTATTATAATTTTATTATAATCATAACTCTTTGGTACATTATTTCTTCACATTCGGATGAACATAATAATAGTATATTTTTGATTGATTATCAAATTTAAAAGAAACGTTTTCTATAATTTAGAAACCCATAACAAAAGAATTTGTTATTAATTGTAAATTCCATACATACTTATATTACGTACAAGTATATATTAGGTCATTAAGTATGAAATGCTCGATTTTTAACTGAAAGTATTCGAAATAATCAGACATTTCATACTTTATGACCTAATATATATATATACTTGTTATGTATAAGTATTTATATACTACCTAAATATTTACTTCTAATCAGTTCACCTCAAAATTGTAGCCTCTACAGAATACTGTTGTTACGTTTTATGATTATCATTACAATACCCTTTAATTATGTGTAGTAATTAATTCGGTACCTTTTAAACAAATTTACTATTTATTTATAAATTTATTGTATTATTTTCTATAAATTTGGTCCACCTTTCAAGCCACATTCAGTGACGAAAAAAATATGACGATTTTGATGGAATTAATTGAATATCACAGAACCAAATTAATTGCTACAATTAATATTTACATTCGCATTAAATAATTTATTTAATTAATTTTAAAAAATAAATTATTAATTTAATCATTTACTAAATTTAAAGCATAAGTTAAATCTTCGAACAATCTTGTCTCAGTCAATGAGATATCGAACGATGTGATCGAAGTGTTAATAAAAAATAAATAACCCATAACCAAATCAACACCATATACTAGAGAATACAACACATTCGTTTAAATTTTAGAGACAGAAACATGTTAGTATATCGCTTTACGCCATTCACCATCCACCATTTATCAAATCCTTAATTTTATAAACTTTTACCGGAAGTAGAAGGTACAGTATTTTGTGTTTTCTCATTGAAACGTGAACCAACATTCACGTTTGCATTTTCAGTATTTCCTTCTCGTTGCAAAGGATTCGAGACTTTTCCGATGTAAAGAATAGTACCCGTCGTTTCATCTTCGATATAAAAAACGAACGGATGATTCGCGTGGAAGGTTTGATCGCCAATTTTATTTCCAATTTGTACAGCTGTAAAAATAAAATAATAAATGTAAATAAATAAAAATAATAATTAGACTTTTATAGAACTATATGCAATATTAATGTTACATACTTATACATACATATATTTGTATTTTTTTTTGTCTATAAAATTTATTAGTTCAAATTTAAAAGTTTATGATTGATAAATGAAAAGTATACTATAAGCATATATAATATATTACAATTAATTATATTAATATTAATATATACAATTTAATATATTATACATATATTTTCTAATCTTTTTCGTAGACAAAAAAAAATAATATAATTATAGAAGATTAATTAATGAATTATTTATATATAATTAAAGTGATATATTATATGAGAATCATATTCATTCGAACATGAAATAAAATAACACATGCTCTTTTTATGTATTTATATACGTATTTACTTCCTGCTACATTACTACAATGGTATTCATTTACAATAAACTTACCAGTGGCTGCGTAAGCGGATGTTCCATTTTCATTCACTTCAATACCAGTTTTTTGCAGGACATCCTTAACAATGAGGCGCCTGGATTCACGTTTTGTCTTTGATATACCTGTTAGAGTGGCCGTATCATCGAATATATCTCGAATACCTACCTGTAATATATTAAAACAATAAGAAAAAAAAGAATCAATAAATTCGAAATGATCAATGAATTATTAAAGAATTTTTCAAATATGTATTTGTACATACCTCACGAAGAACAGTTTCCAAATGGCTTGTAAAGTCGAATTTAAATTTAGGAATAGTAACTTCAACTGGCGTGTCTTGCATAAGCCATGCTTGTTTCGTTAATATAAAAGGATTAATTTCTTTAAGCAGTCTATCTATTCCGTTTACATTAAATGGTAATATCAAATACAAAGCGAACTTGTGACCCTGGAGATAAAATCAAATAATAAATAAGATTAGGAATTACCCATTTGCTCGATGACAAATCGTTCATTGAAAATTGTTTTAGTAATTGAACAATCAATCGAATTCCCACGTTTAAGATAAGATATTTTGATTAGAAGGGTAAACATTTCTTTACATATTGTCCGTCATAGGAATTTTCGTATGAATCAATAAATCGGGTTAGAATTTATTATAATATTTTGGGGACAAATATTATAATGGTATTCGCGGTCTCGTCTATATTTCTGTATATATATATATATATATATATATATATATATATATATATATTTTCACATAAAAATTAGCCAATCCGATTATTGATAACCGGTAACCCTCTTGACAGTTAATAAGATTTACTATAACATTGATAAAGTCTTACGTCATACGGTAGTCGTAAAATCTTAGCGTTCAATTCCGTAGACTCCGAGTAATAGAATCGACTGCTCGAAGTCATAAATGGTACTTCTACGACATTGTTTTCACTTATATAAAATTTCCCCATATGAATATTTTCAGTTTTAAAGAATTGACGTCTCCAAATGCCCTTGAAAAAGAGTGCGTTGACTACCAACATCACCGAGTCTTTCAAAGATGTTTCTACGAAAAATAAAACAAGAAATAAGTATTTATTTTTTAATGTATGTATTATTTTATTCGTGATATCGTTGATTATCCTTAATGATATTTACCATCTTCAATCAATTTATCAAGATTTCCATGCGTCACATTTTTGACCCAACTATTAATATCTTCGGTAGATGAATGAGTGTCTGACAAATTAGCATTTATAAGATTAACCCCATAAAACGTTTCGATGATTGCAGCATAACGTTGTCTTGTCATGATAGAATTATCGACGTAAAGACGAGTACCAAGATTTAACTCGTATTCAGGACGCATCATCTGCAAACATGTATATAAAAAGGAATGTTTCCATTGGTTACCTTAATAGCTATCATTTAAAAATCTAATAACGCAGTAGGAAAAAATAAATATCCTGTCTATCTACTTTTAAAGAACGATCAATGTATTCTCGGTAGCATATAATCGATATATTCATAGGGGAAAAATAGAGAAAGGAAAAGAAAGAGACAGGAAGAAAAAAAAGAGTGTGATTTGGTATTAAATATTATGCATTTACCTTTAACGATTGGAGAATTTCCGAAAATTTTTCACGAATTGCCGGTCGGCTGATTGGTAATTGCATGACTCCAGCTAATTCTTGCGCTGTGTGATCCTGAGCTCCTTCATAGAGCAAAACTAATGCCAATTTTATAGATATCGGTGATACTAATATATTTCCTTCATACATTTTTCCCATGGTCTGATAAATAAAGAAATAGAAATAAAATGAAATATATAAAATAATGAAATTATTTTATAATTAAATTAAATAAAATTAAATCTTTGATTAGTATTGTGTGTATTTAATTTGTATGGATAATCTATAAAAAATGATTTACTCTAAAAAGTATCCAGTCAAAAACGTTGAAACGTTCTCCCAGATAAGGAACAAAATCTTCTGCATCGTCGTCATATGTGGTCGCATTGGTTCTCATCGACACATTGGTAACGTTCAAATTTTTTGCTTGTCTTTGTACAGTAGCGCTGTTTATCGTAGAAATGAATACGAGGCTCCATAAAAATACGGTACAACCTATAATTAGTATCCCTTAATTAGCCAAGACTTCCCCTTTCAATATTTGCAGGGAAAATGAAAAACAAAATTCTTATTGGAAGTTAACAGTTTTTAACAAGAAAGAAAAAAGTAGCTATACAATATTCATGAGATTTATTCAAACAATCGAGATTTCGGTAAGCAAACGAAATGTAGAAAATATCATCGAAAAGTCGGAACACGTCTTGAGTACCGAAACAACTTTTAACCTTGAATTGTAATGTTATATACATATAAAAAAAAAACCCAAATGAGTTGAAAATAATCAAATATTATTATCGTATTAGTTGCGCATCGATTAACACTGCCATTGAAATTTGTACTGTCAATTATTGAAAAATTTGTATTGTTAATAATTGAAAGAAAAATATCTTATGTTTAATTTGAATTCACCGTTATTTAATAGCATTCTATATGAATTTTATGTTTAATTTGAATTCAACATTATTCAATAGCGTCTTATATGAACACTTTAAGTACGTCTATCAATCATGCGATTTATTACGTTCCATCATACTCTCCCGATAAATTAATATTTTAAAGGTAATATTTAAATGCACGAATATATTTTAAATATGTTTATATCAATTACACAATTGTTTCATTTAATTACTTAAATAATTCGAATAATTATTTAATTACTAATCGTTCATCTTAATCTTGATCGATGTATGTAGTATATATATGTATATACATATATATATTAAAAATATTCTCGTTAAGAAATAAGTGCTCATAATGGATGGAAAATCCAAGGATTCATTTGTAATACAAAATATTACTGTCAAATAAGATAATTTACAAAATGGATGATTGATCCATACAAATGGATCTATCGGATTTTATAAATAAAATATTAATATTAATAAATAAAATAAACATTTATTCTCTTACCTAATGTTTTAATAAGCTTCATGATGATTTTTCGATAAGTAACGTTACTGTAGAATGAGTTTGTTTATTAGAAAAATTCGAATTTGTATATAGACACGACCGATGATCTTCGCAATGGTACAATCTACAAACGAAGCGAATACGAGTTCACTAAAGATTAAAACCGGTCGAGCATCGGTTGCTGTATAAAAGTTAAAGAGAATACGGGAGAGAGAGAAAGAAAAAGAGAGGGAGAGATATAAGAAGGAATATAGTGGGGAGAAGAAAGAACGGAATCGTTGTTAGAAATAAGCAGCTTATGTGACTCATGTAAAAATAATTTTGTTTTTTAAAAAAATGTTTATATAGTATTTTTTTTCTTTATGATTCTTTATTGGCATACATGATGGAATTAACTAAGAATAGAAACTAAATTTTAGCTCAACATAAACCACCTTCGGTTTATTTCATGATTTTTTACGAGATCCTCGTAAAATCCTTTGACGTCTAACGCTATAAATTACTCGTATAGATTAGATCAAAATTCTTTTTAAATTCATTGATAAAATATGTACAACCACAATGATTCGTGAAATTGATATTTATTTAATAAGATGACGTTATAAACAAACGAAATAAAAAATAATTAAAAAGAGCGTTTCTACAAAATGAGATAAAAATAATAATGTTGATATTAGTAAATGAAAGAAACTTGATGGGAAAATGATACGACGATATCCTTTTATTCGCTATGACTATTATTGCAATTAGATTTTTGTCGTAAGATATATAAATTAGATAATCTGATGACTACTACAATAACACATAATAATACAATTAATTTAACTAATTGTATTAGTTTTTATTATTATTTTGTTATTTCTTCTTTTCATTGGTCGCGTTTCTTTCGTTGCAAAGCGTGGTACTTGTTATAAGCGTCCAAAATATACACAGTAGCTGCATTTAAACTTTCGGGTGTAATGTAGGTTCGTGCCAAATCCGTAACTTGTTCTTTTACCTGTTAAACATAACGGAAATAAAATAATTAGCATAGATCTTTTAATTATTAATTTAGAACTTACGAGAAAAAAATTAAAATTCATTCTACTTACCCGAGTATTGTACAGAGGAAAATCTGATAAATTAATGAGACAGATATTAGTAAAAGTACATATTAAAGTAATAATGACACTAACGACAACGAGACCAAGCGCGAAATATGCAAAAACAGACCAAAATTGAGATCCATACAACATAAGGCTAGTAGCTAAAGGAATCAAGCCTTGTGAGAATACAAATGGCCAATCATGGTTTTCTTGGGATGATATAGGAGATTGGTGTTCATCTACTCTCGATTGTATTTGATCTCCTCTATTATTTGAATAATCTGGAAAACTTGGATATAAATATTGCCTCGGTGGTAATAGACTTTCTTGCAAATATGAATTCATTTGCAATTGATTATTGTTTTGATTTTGAGCGACCGTCAATTGTTGAGATTGCTGTCCTGATTCTTGAGTTGATTGAAAACTACTGTTACGTTCCACAATCGAATTTGCCAATCCCAAGCAGATCAATGTAGATATTATTAAAACACGAAACATTTTCATTGTTTTATTAGATCATATTTTATGTAAATCAATAAATTTATTTAACGAGAGCCTAAAAAATGAATATGTATATAATTACGATTTAAAATTAAATATAATAAAGTATTGAAGATGTTCTTACATTCGTCCTAATAGATCCTATTATAAGTGAAATTCACGATCTTTTCCAAACGTTCCTGGTCCGTTTAACGTAGCTCTGCAAATGACGAAAATTTTCTTAGCTTCTCCTTATATAGTGCAGGTAGAATTTGTAGAGGCATTTTTGTGGATACCTTTTCTCTTTCCTTAAAAATTCATCCCTTTGTTATTAAGGGCAGCACTTTAATCTGATAACGCATACCTGGTCGTCTAAAACTTCTTCTTAATCTTATCCAGTTTTCTAAAAATACTACATATTTTCTGTTACGACCAACTTCTAGAATTCTGCGTTAAATTTTCAAAGAGAGTGAGAAATAAATAAGATTATTGTATTCCTTGAAAAATCATCATAATATTTCCTATATTGCGATGTATAAATTAGATAAAAATATATCTTAAATAAATGTCACCAATAACGTTAACATTACAAGTCGACTTCATACATACACACATATGTTCGTAAATCTATCCAACCGATTATTTATTATTATTTTCTGTTATTACTACTGTCAATCTTAATTAATTATGTATGTTTATTCATTTCATCATTTTAAGCATTTTTCTCTCTCTCTTTTTTATTTATCTATTAGGGAAACCGAAAAGTAATGTCGTTTCTGCGCATATTAATATTTGTTTAGTATTTATTAACTCATTGTATACTTTAAAACCGTAGTTTAAATTAAATGGTTAAAAAACAACATGTTTTATTTGCCGATCCCCCTAATATATTTAAATATTTTTTTTTATACGTCGTTTCTTTTCTGATAATTCATTCCTTTGTTACTAATAGAAATCATTTTCATCTGATAAAATATACCTGTTCGTCTAAAATTTCTTAATCTTATCTAGTTTTCGAAGAAACCTACGAACTTTTTGTTTTAACTGACTTCTTAAGAATTGTTCTCATAAAATTTCTAACGGGAATAAGAAATAAATAAGATACTTATATTTTTTGAAAAAATAATACAATTTCTTATTGCTCCAGATATAAATTATACAAAAATATATATATATACATACATATTAATATATATTTATTATTACTATTATTATTATTACTATTTGATGAGAAGACACATGTTATACAAAAATATTTCCCACGTCAAATTGCTCTTAATTATCTAATAACAGTACACGTCAAATGACCGAGGTATCAAAAATAGTAAAATAATATTTATATTCTATAGACGAAATATGCAAAGTTAGCTTGAACAGAACCAATTTCCTCTTATCTCCACTTATTCTTTCTTTTGTATCTACTTAGCGTCTCCTCGTACTTATCATATTCGAATTCTTTAACATTTGTTCTACATTGGCACGTCACAATTTAACTATATTTAATTATAAAAATAAATCTTTTGTATATTTATTGTTCATGTAAATCATGTATAAAATCTAATAATCTTAGAGTAAAAATAGTCTAAAGAAGACAATTCAAAATAACAATAATAGAAGAATCATTTTTTCTTCAACGACAAATTTTCATACCTCTAATATACGATATAATATTTTACATGGGAAACAATCTTCTCATTCAATATACATTTTAGTATAGAACAATGCTTTGCTATTCATAAACATTTTCATACAAAAAAGCAACAGTAAAAAAACGAACATTCGATGTAAAATTAAAAGTATTTGAAATTATGAGAAATAAAGTGTCCATATTTAAGCTTGGTTTTTATCTTCCATAGTTTTGTATATATAAAAAATATTTTTAAGTTTATATTCTCCCTCTATATATAATAGAATACAAAATTTTATGGATGTAAACCTTTCAACATCATTGATTCATTCTGAATGTCTATACGTAATTTTTCAGTTTCATCTTCGCTACTATTATCCGAAGAAATATTTATTACTTTATTCTTTTTTCTTTTTTTTCTATTTTTCCACACACTATTTTCTGATTCATCAGATTTCATTCGTTTCCTCTTTTTAGTCTCTAATATTTTCTCCGCTTCTTCCAATATAGAATATCCATGAACTAGTTTACTCTTATCGACATCGTTATCTTCATCGCCACTTACGCAAAAGGAATCCTAAATAAAACAAATTTTATATTAATTCATTTGCAATTAAATACTACATATACATATCTAAATACTTGAAGTAAAAAATATTCAAATTAACCTGAAGATACGTTTCATCGGCTTGTGAACAAGGTTGAGAATATATATCTTCTATTTCTGTAGATTCTTGAGGTTCTTTAAAAATAAAAGCACCAGGTCTTTTTACAGGACTTTTACTGGCTTGTAGATATAAAGCATGTACATCTTCCTCTTGTGCGTATTGAGTGTAACTAACAAAATCTTTTAAATCTTCGTCAACACCAGAACTTTCATTGGAACTTTCACTGGAATTTAACGATACTGCTGCTTCATAATCAATATATTCGCATTGACTTCTCACTTTACTCTTTTGACTTGTTGACTTTTTTGTGTAAGAGGAATTTCTTGAAGATTTCATATATTGTGATTGACTGCTCTGACTTGTTTTATTAAAATCCTGTGATTTTACATATTTATCCGGGGCTTTAAAAGAACTTAATTTATTTAATTTCATTTTTCGTGTTTCAACTTTTTTAGAAGTATTATCTCTGCAATTGCTGCTACTTGGAATAGATGTATCATTATTTTGACTTTTCTGTTTTGAGAAATAACTAGTTTCCAATTGATTTAATTTATCTATATCGTTTGTACTTATAACAAAGTCATTTTCTGAATCATTTTGATCATCCACAGAAATGGAATTAGGAATGGAATGTCTTATAGTAGATAATTTTTTTGCTATTTTCATAGAATTATTTTTTGCACATTCTTCTGGTTTGGATTTTTGCTGGAATGATATCCATTCATCGCTATCAGTATCATCCCCCATAATATCATTCGCGAAAGATGATTCTAAAGTACCGTTATTTTTTACACTATCGTTAGTAGTAGAATTTAAATTAAAATACTTTGAATTTGCAGCTGAAACAGATGATACTTCAAAATCATTGTTCCATTCAAAATCATCATATTCAAACTGGTTTTCTCCTATACATTTTAATTTTGTATTAATACTTTGTTCTGAGTTTGGTAAAGTTTCATTTTTTGAATTTGTTATGTTCTTTGATTCATTGTCTGGAGCATTCATTTTCAAGTCTTCTGAATCAGATGCAAATATATCATCTTCAGATTCATAGTCACTTTGTATAAGCAATTTATTACTAGTTAATGTATATTCAGACTTTTGTGCTACATCCTGCAGTGTATCTTTTACTTCTGTAAGTACAGTCTGTACATTCTCTTTGGAATTTATTTGTGCTATTTTATTAACAGCTTGAGTTATGGAATACATACTTTCGCAATGCTTTGAGCGTTCTTCTGTAGGTTGTTCCTTAACTAACATGTTTGTTAAAGTAGAATTATTTGTTTTTTCTTGTATTTTATTACTTGTCGTTATTTTGGAAGAGTCATTGTTTGAATCAGAAATTTTTAATTGAATATTTTCAACATTATCATCATTACAATCACTTTCAATAGAATCAAATGAATCATTAAATATATCTTCAAAAAAACTAACTTCGGCCTCCATTGGTACATAACTATTTGTATTCGGAGGATTAAAATTATCACTTTGTTTACTACATTTTGAATTTGTCACAGTTCCAGCTGTGTTATGTTCTATAATATTAACGTCAGTATCCAGATTATTTAAATTATTTTCGTCATCTGCGATATCATCAGAATCGGTACTTTCATTAAGTAAATCTTCGAACTTGGATTTAGTAATATTAGTAGATACATTTATGCCTACGTTTACTGGACTCAAAATATTGTATCGATTACTAAAGCAAAAATTGTCGTCGTCATCATAATCGTTTTGAGAAGGTTCTTTTGGCAATGATAAATCTATTTTAATATTACTTAAATAATCAGCCAAATCATCAAGTATATCTAAACTAGGTATAGTAAAATCAATGAAATTTGTTATTGATTCAGTTAAACACATATATGTGGTATCTACTTTAGGTTTTCTCAATCTCATTTCCTCCTCTGATTTCTTCATAGCGCACAACGTTAAAAAGTCAACTGCTTCATTGTCACAAGTTAGCAATTTAACATTCGATGCTTTTATTAAATTAGTTTTATTATTTAATGCAGTAGTTTTGTTATTTAATGCAGTAGTTTTATTATTTAAGGTAGTAGTTTCTACTATAGTAGGCTTTATAATTTCTACAAAATCATCATCGTCATTATTATAATCATTATCATTATTGGAGTGCACGTCCAATTTTTTATTTACGAGAAATTTAGACAATGAAGGCTGATTCGTATTTCTTATTTCATTAATAGAAGCTAAAAATATTCAAGCACATTTTTAATTATTATTAGTAAGATATAATTCATTTGTGAGATAAATTATCATTACTTCAAAATACTTACATTGTTTGGTAGTTTTTGTCTTTTTCGTAGATGTTTCATTAGATTTTTGATTGTCTACTTTCTTAGATTTAGTACCTTTTTTCACAGGAGTTTTTGGTTTTATATGTATATGCATTTTACGACATTCTGGGTTACATACGTCTGGTATCATGCGAGGATTTTCCTCATATAAAGAAGAATTGATATTGCTTGTATTGAGAATTTTACTGTTTAAAGATTCTCTTCTTGCCATTGTAGATTTTAAAGCCTATAAATTCATAAAAAATATATATATATATATATAATATAAATTTAGAAATTGTATAATAGAAATAAATCTAAAAAAAGAAACAAACAAGAAAACAATAGTACGTACTTCGTTTTCTTTACCATCTGTAACAAGAACTATTATATGACCATCTCGTTTTCGTCCAGTTCTTCCCATTCGCTGTACAAGACGAGTTGGATTTTTTTGTGATACATCAAAACATATTATCAAATCTACTTCTCCAACATCTAATCCTTCTTCGCCTACAGAAGCAAACATTAATTATTATTATTATTATTTTTTATCAAAAAATACAAAAATTAACTGTATTATAATGTATACCTATACTGGTAGAAATGAGTACATTGACACGATTTTGTCTAAAATCTTCTATCGCCTTTATTTGATTTTTCTGTTTTTGTTCACTTCTGCCGACAAACATTTGAGGTCTTATCAACGGTTTTGTTTGTAATAATAAAACGTATACTTCGCTGACAATGTCTCTATACTACACTTAAAATTAAAAAAATTATTTTTGAAATAAATATTAGTAACAATATATGTATTTATATAAAATTCACATATATGTACAAACCTCTACAAAGACTATAGCCCTTGTATCTTTTCCAGAAGAACTTGCTATTGTAAAATGATGCAATAATAATTCTTTTAATTTTAAAAACTTATTATGTCCAAATACAAGATTATCTGGAATCTAAATATACAAAAATATTATTTAAGTATTAATATATTAAATCAAGCAGTTAATAAAATATTACGACATATGATAAATTGATATACTAACTTCTGGAGTATTTCCACTAATAAATAGTTGAGGATCAGGAAATGGTCCCAAATAAGTTTGTACTTCTGCGAGTAATTCTTGTAGTTGAGTTTCACTGTTCATCCAAAATTTATCAGAATGATCTTAAAAGGACATTAAACATATTAAATATATAATTAGTTCCATAGAGATTCGTATTATATAAACATTTACTTTGATAGAACTTATAAAAGGCACGAAGTCCATGCCGAATCATTAATTCATAAGCATGATACATGGTAAGCAAAATATTTAATGCTTTTTTAATTTCATTATTTCCTGATTGATTCGGCGTCTTTTGAAATTCCCTTAGTATCATAAAGATCTAGTTATAAACAAAATATATATGTACATTAAAACATCATAAGAAATATGACTGAATTATTATTATATACAAATGAACTTACTTTGCCTTTAGAAATATTTGCGGTTTGTCCGCGAATAACATTGCATCTAATAAGAAATTTTACATGACGATCCATTATATTAATATATCTGTCTTTAAACTTTTCTAATTCTTCACCAAGAGGAACTAAAATAATATCTGTCTTTCTTTGATTAATATATGGCGTTATATCTAGAGATGTTTCATCTCTTAATTCTATATGGGAAATGCATAAATTTTGTACAACCTATAATACAGTAAAGTTTAGGAAAATGATTTATTAATAATTTAAAAATAAATTTTTAAAGTATACCTGATGAACATTTGCAATTTTATTTCCCGGTGTTGCGGAAAGTGCTAGTACTCTAAAATATCGATTTTTCTCTTTCAATATACGGATACACTAAAAATATCAAAATCAAACAAAATAAAATATTGATTTAGCTTATCATTAAAAAATTTAAAAAATCATGTATGTACCTCGCAATATGAATGTTTACCCAATGCTTTATGTGCTTCGTCTATTACAACACATTTTACAAGTTCACTAGGAATAATATTATTTTCAAGATCATTATGAAATACTTGAGGTGTAGCAAAAAACACTCTGTTCTTAAACCAAGCTTTTTCACGTGCTTTTTGATTTATATTGCCTATTAAAAAAAGAAAATCCATATGTTAATTGAAATTTCAAAAAATGGTGACACATTTGCAAGTTAAACCGATTAATTCTACTTTGAGAATTTTTCTTAATTTTATTATCGAACCACTTGACCAATATTTGATTTTTTATATTTATAAAATAAATTTCTCTATTAATTAGACTTAACACCATTAGATGATAATAATTTTTGTTATCGTTCAATAATAAATGATACAATAATTTTTTTAACTTTTTGTTTTACTAAGTTAATTGATGTAGCGTATAAATTACTCATTTGATTTTTTAATAAATACCTGTGAGTTCAATACTTTCTATACTTGGAATACCCATCACATTATAACATGCATCAATTTGTTGAGCGACTAAGGGCCTTGTTGGTGCAAGGAAAACAATTTTTCCACGTGGATACCATCTCCAAAAATTATACATTACCACAGCAGCAACAAACGTTTTTCCCAACCCTAATAACAAAATGAATATAACAATAACATACTTCTTAATCTTCTATCATTTTTGTAGATGCATTTATAGAAATTAATTTTATAAAATAAAATGAAATAATTATCTTACCAGTTGGTAGACATACTAGAGTATTATAAAATAAAGCTTTTTCAACAATATTATACTGATATTCTCGGACAGGATAATTTTCTGGATAAATCCATATTTTTCCAGCAGACAAATCAAATCCATTTGTTTCTAAATCGGTTGAAATATCAGGATCTTGTATAATTTCTATTTCACTCATTTCTATAAGGTTAACTATTTTTAAATACGAAATATTATATTTTAATAATTTTATATTAACACATTATAATATACCTAAATCATTCATGAATGAAATACGCATTAATTCCAATGAAGATAAAAAAAAATATAAATTTATAAATACGATGATTACACATTCAGCTATGCAGAATTAAATATTTAGGTTATCTTTCATGTAATAAAAATTAATATGTATACACAGTTCAAAACTTTTCTGCACTTTATATATCTCATTCTATTGATAAAATAAGATAACTGTATATTTTTATTTCGTTCATCAACTAATAGTTTGATAAACATAAATTTTTTATGTTCTTGTAAGTTTTATATAATTGAACATAGTTTAATACATACTTTATTTCACAACATTTGATTTATGTACATAAGAAAACACATTTAGAAAATAACATCACATTAAACAAAGTATTTTGTTTAACAATCTAACTGTAAGACTGTAATCATGTAACTAAATGGGTTTAGTATCATCTTGAAAATGGCTAGAAATATTAACCAATCACGATAGAGGATTGTCACGTGATTACTTTTTGAATGGTGACAAATGAATCACATAAGTCAAGGATTATGAATCAATGTATATGTATGGATTTAAAAAATAATAATGTAGTATATTATAAATAACGTTTATATTGAAAAATATTATTTAAAGATTTAGGTTATGGCTGTCAATATATAATCAAAACAAGTAGGATATATAATTTCACAAATTATTTTTACTATCTTTTATAATCATTTAATACTTTTTGATTTGGTACATTTTTTTTTATTATTTTGTCATTCATAATTTTTGAAAAATTATTATGCATTTATTTGATTGCAAATTTGAAGATTTCGATTCAACAAATATAAATTTACATATTTTGTTCAATATGATTTACATCAATGATAATTATCATTTATATGTATATATCTTGCACACATGCATATTTCTAAATGAACATACATATATTATGGAGACAATAAACTTGTAATAACCATATAACTTTCTGTGTATGCAATATATACTTTAACATATTATGTTATTAGATACATGTTTTAAAATTATAATAATGGAATCTAGAATAATACAAATATTTCATTGTCAATACACATTGACTTTATATACAAGATATATTATTTACAAGTTTATTTAATCAAAGTGACATAGAAGAAGTATTTAGTATCTCCGATGATATACATAATTGTAACTTTTTTATACGAAAACTCACATTTTAAACATTTTATATTGTGCAATTATTTTACATCTTATGTTATTCATAAAAATGTGGATTTACTTTCACGAGAACATATGGGAATTTATATACATATGCACCTGATTCATTCTTAAATAGGACTCACATTTGAATGATGAAATAGGAAATAACAAATTTTGTAAGATCTTATATATTGATAATAATTTAGTTAGTATTAATCACATATGTATGTATTCTTTATAGAAAATATATCGATAACGGTTTCGATAAGTTTTTTTATATGGATAGTGTATATATGTGTGTGTATGTGTATAAGTTTTTGAATTTTGGCTGTATGAATATTCATGCAAGGACACTTAAAGCAAGGCACAGATACATTTTTTGCATTATTTCATTGATTATAATATTATATAAAAAATCTGTATTATTTATCATTTAACAAGTTTTCCTCTGTTTAGGAATAATTGCGTTTTAATAAAAAATAGTTGCATTTTCCAGCCATAAGTTTAATAGTAGCCAGTGATTTTGTGTTATTTAGAATTAATAATATAATATATTAAATATAGAATTTATACCTATAGAATTTATGGCCTTTTTAATCAAAATAAAAATAATTTTATATACGTATATTACCTATACTTTATATTTGTTAAATTACATATAATATTGCAAGTAGAGAGCATTATTTTGATTTAGGATTTAAATCAGCATATATAAGCTCATATAGGTATAAAAATATAATGAAGCAATTAAATGGAAGAAGCCACGCTTAGTATACTTTCAACAGGATAGTTTTTTTTTACATGATGTGCGTTTAGAAATTGTTCAGTACTGCTTAGTTATTTTAAAACCAGACCTTTCTCAGTCTCCAATATTTGATTAATTATTATGAAGAAAGTATATCTTCTTTTTTTTTTTTTTTTAATAAGATACGTGTGTTAACTTTTAGATATATTATGCAATAAAAGAGAATATATCATACTTATAGAAGTTATATTAAGGAAGGAAGTTATATCTGTTTTTTTTTTCTTTTTTATCAATATTTAATTTCTTTTTTTTTATAGTAATTGTGTAACCTGTTTTGATTATGCAGGCATATGGTAAATATGAGATGATAATAGATAATTATTTCCTATTGGAATTTTTCGTTTTTGTGGGACTTGATCGGTATTATTTAAATCAAATGAATATTTTGAATTCCAATCTCGATTAAAAATATTTTCCAGTTGTTGCCTTATACTTTCATGATTTTTATGGCCAACATCTTCAAAAACTGTCCCAATTCCTATAAAATAAGTAAGAATAATGATAAATAAGTATAAATATACTTATAAATATATATATATATATATAAAATATACCTGCTGTGTTTATAAAGTAGTCACCAGACCAATTACTTGTGCCTATGTATGCAGAAATATCCGTAACCATATATTTATTATGGTTAACTCTTGAAAACGGTATATTGTCCAGTTCTGTAGAAGTTGGGACTATAAACCGTTTCTACAAATATTGAAAGATATTTTATTTGTTATATCATTTTTTCCAAATAAAATATTAAAATTATTATTATAACATAATAATACTCACTATTTCAATGTTGACATTTCTGTAACTATTCGTCAATGCTTCTAATGATTTAAGAAAATAACTTTCAGATGCTCTTGAATGTTTCCACAGTGATATTAACAGTTTGATCGTGACTTTACGGTCAATAGCAGCTGCTCTTAAAGCATTGTCTATTACTGGCCAATATCTGAAAAAATGAAATTAAAGACCATTTCTTATATTTGATATTATATATTTATAAATCCAATGTTTATAAAAGTATTTACTTTATTTTTGGTGTATAAATAACCAAGGGAAAATAATCCATTACGGATATGTAAATGAATTTCTCCGCTTTTTCTATGCAATGTAAAATGGCATCTATGTCATTGCTTCTACCAGTAGGCGAAAATGGTGGTGGTGAACTCTGAAAAAATACCTTATCATTATTGACAAGTTCGTATAGAATTTATTTGTACTTAAATAATAAAGCGACATATACTTACAGCGATAAACGTTTTGTATTTATTACCCATTAAACTAAAATTCATAGGATTATCGATATTTATTTTCGTGTTGACGGAGTCCGGCCACGTCGGTGGCACTCTACCATCTTTGCCCAATTGCCAGTAAATCTAAACAATGAAATGCATAAATTTTCAAACATCGTGTATAATAAAATAGTAATAAAATTAGTTTATTATTTATAAATGACTAACATCGAAAATTTTGGCATAATCAGTCGCCAAACAGGAGCAATTTAAAGCGACCAATCCCAGTTCTTTAACTTGTGTAAGAGATCGCCAATCCATGTTAGCTGAACCAACATATACATGTTGTCTATCTATCAGCCACAATTTAGTATGAAGTACACCTCCACCTAAGAGGCCAGCAAAATTCAAACTTCTTACCTGAAAAGATAAACATTTTTGTACGATCCTAATTGTACTTCTATTAGATAATGTAAAGAAATTGAACAGTGCAAAACGAAAGTTCAAAGTTCACTCTACCGAGATGCGACACGTGGTATTGGTTCTTGATTAAATCATGGTGAGGTAGAGAAAGTGGGTAATAAGTAAACGTAAAATTAGGTTACACCCGCATAGTGGTATTCTCGTTATGTATAGAAGAGACACAGGAAGACAACGAAGTAATAGAAATTTATTGGAGTGTTCGTTAAACCGATTTGTAATGCTTCAATAGCAATCATTCTTCAACGAACAATAAAACAAATCTGCAGAATCAAAGGGCTCACTTGTGCGTGTGCTTTCTTCGTCAATATTTCAGTATCGATGTTCGGATACGAATGAGAAGGCATGTTCTGCGCTATCTTTAATGAAATTTGTCTGTCCCGTCCTGCTTCAATAAGTGCTTGGAATACGGCCTCGCCCTAAAATCATTTTCTAATATTATAAATGATGAATCATATATAAATGTAACATAAATAGAATTAATACATAAATCATTCACTGGCACCTGCCTCTTTCGCACTGTCATCCGGATAAACGTCCTGTCTTCTCATGGTCCAATACAAGGACGCTATCTCTATCGTGTTTTCGGCCATTGCGATTAGGTTCATCCAAGAGTCATAGGTAGTCTCGTGTAACACCGAATTATTGCTATAATTCAATCCAATTGGTATAGATTCGACAAGAGAAATACTACAGCTATCCATACAAGTTAGTTCAGCATCGATGTTCGTAGAATTTAATACGAATTTATCCGTAGCATGATCAAGAAGGGGTAACAGAACGACGAGAACGATGAGTATCAAGATCACCGTTATTGGTATGCAACTTGGTCTGCACCATCCTTGCGCACCCCACCTTTATTAATAATAATAAGATAATAATAATTTTACAATTGGATATATATGATAATACAAGATAAAAAATAAATAGGCAGTAGTAAAAACATATGTCATAATATAATAAGTTAACTTTAAGTAAAACTTTTAACTTAAGTAAAACTTTATTATTAATTTTACCCACTTTGCATTAGTGAGAGGGTCGTCTACGTCGTTTCGCAGCATGAATCCAGATTGGTCCCATAACTCTAAATCGTCATCACCTGTCGACGAATTAACGTCCAATCTTGCATTTTCCGAGACCGTCTAACAATAAAACAAAATATGTTCATAGAAAGGATTTTCATTAACTAAATTCATTTCGACAATTCCATATAGGAAGAGTATATATGTCGATATAGATAAGTACTTACAATAAACACTTTCAATATTTCATAAATATTAATTTATCATTATTATATTATATTTTACATTTTACAACGCAGTAGGGGTTGTAAAGTTCGTTCGTTTGGACGTTGATCGTTTCAAGCATAGATTCCACGATATTTTCGCTAATCACGTTATCGTAATAACATGGTGATGTGCGCGAGTGCGCGTACGACAGTAATGATGTGATTGATAGAAACGAGGAAAGGGGGGAAAATGCATGTCAATGGAGCAAATGATTATAATGACAGATGGCGAGGTTCCGCTATGGGAAAAAAAAATAAAAAAAGAATGCTCTCTGAGAGCTTACTAATCGAATCTCTCGTTACACGACGTTAAATTTATTCGTTTTGGAAAATGTGTCGATGTAATAACGTATGTATGCCACATAGTATGGTATATACTTAAATCGTATAACGAACTCTACTAGAAAACCTTTCGTAAAATCAAATTGCGAATATGATGTACTCGTGCGACAACATGGAGAAAAGAAAATACAATAAGATAAGTGAGAAAAAGGATCGTTAAATCTACTTTTTTTGTTTCTTCTTTGTACAATTAGCTCAAGACATTTCATCTTTCTTGTAAACATATTAACTATAATATAAATGGTAATACTTTTTTCCAAAATTAAGTTATGGATATAACGGACGCTTTTTAATAAAAGAAAAATAAAAGAAATATGTAACATGTACTTCTCTTTTTTTATTTCTTTACGATATGAAAAATATGTTGACCTTCTTCCTACTATTTCTACTAAAATCCAAAAATCTAAATTACATACATGATTACATATATGCTGCTTATGTAATTAAAAATAGAACAGAAATAAAATTTAGTTGGTATTTTTCTATTTCTTTTTTACCCCCCTTTTTTTTAATAACCAGAACGTTTCGGTTCGCGAGTTCATTTTTCCACGGTACAATGCGCGCACGACAATGTCCTTATCGTTTTGCGCGAACGTATTGCGTAAGGCAGTTTAGTAAAAATGACTGCAAAAAGGAGTAGAGTCGATAGAACGACCGACTAGAAAGTCTGTCTGAGGCAGATAAACGAACGAAAGGATGAGTGATGTGTGAATGGAAGCTTCGTGGTAAAAGAAAACGTCTGAATTCTCTTTCTCTCTCTCTCTCTCTCTTTCTTTTTCTTTTTCTATCTCATTCTTTTTTTTCAGACGATAGTATTGAAAAAGATAAGAATGGTGTTCCAATTTTGTCATCCTACTGGTCTTCGTCGCCAATGGGAGGAGGCGGCATGAAATTTTTGTCTTCAGGAACAATACATTGACTCGTCCCATTGGTTGTTTGATTCCTAGACGAACTAGGTCACTGACTGACTGCTTATTATTATTATTATTATTATTATTGTTATTATTTTTGCGATTATTTTCGTTATTTATTAATAATGACAATCAATACTCGTCAAACGATAAATGTTCTTTTTTTGAGTAATAAGGGTAATTATTTGAGTAAATAAAATTCATCATGTTGTTTTTTTTCTCTTTTATAAAATGAATTTACGAGTAAAAAATCAACTAATGACTTAAAAGAATATCGATTATTTTTATTATTCATTAATAAAGATTCCTATTATTTGATAAAAATAATCATTAATCATCTATTTCGAGATCGCTTCTTATTGATAACATATATTTATATTTAATTATTTATATTTATATATCACTATAATAAACTTTAGTTAAACTTTGATTTCAAACCGATAAAACGATAAAAAAATATTTGGGAAGAAAAAAATATTGGAAGAAAAAAATATTGGAAGAAAAGTGGGTCGAGATGGTAGAGGTATAGTTTCTTTCGAAATTCATAAGAAAAATTGTTGGTACCGAGTTTGTGGGATAAGAAGGAGAGAAGTAAAAAAAGAAGAAAAAAACAGTAAGTAAAAGTTTTTCGACGTTATCAACGATGTTCTTTCGTGGTCGAAAGGAAAACGTGGCAACGCGGCACCTGGCACCACGTTCAAATGTCAGTTTTCGAGGCTGATGCATATTTGATGAAGCTTTCTGCTACATCGCGGTGAAGCTTCAGCAACCTTATCGATCTATTTTAATATATTTTGTCACGAAACCTTGGCCCGGCCAACTTCAAAAAGAAAAAATATGTCTTTCTTAAATCGAAATTCTTTTAATCCTAACGTGTCCTAAATCACTTGAGCCAATTCCTTGATTGAACAAAGATTCTTCCCATATTTCTTCTTTTTTATTCTTTTATTTCTTTTTTCTTTTTCTTTTACTTCTTTTGCGCACATGCGACGAAACACGAAAATGTGTTCTCTTTGACCTATTTTTAAATTCTATTACGACTTTATTTCGTGCATAGTTTCTACGCTCGTAGTAATTACATCTCTTTCACAACGTTGTACGAACCGTTTAATTACTAGTCGAGATCGATTTTCGTCGAGGCCTCAATTTCGAAATTGTTTCTCCTCCTGACGTTAAAAATACTGTAAAGGGTAATAACGTACTAGGCGTTATATACACTAGTGATGTACTTGTGTATATATATATATATATATATATATATATATATATATACCTGTGAAATTATAAAAAACGAAACATTGAAAAATTGATAGCCTTAATGTAAATACCTATCTGCTATTACATACGCATAAGAAGAAATATATATAAGTAAATACGTATAGATCTATAACGTGATCGTTTCGGTTGAGATGATGGGGTTAAAGTTGTTTCGGAAGGTCCGTGAGTAATAAAAATGTCTGGAAGTAATAAAATAGTCTCAACTCGATTCCCGAGTTCGCGTAAACACGTATAAGGAATAGAAATTATTATACGTTTCTCTGTCTTTCATTTCGGTTACAACGAATGAACACGCGATACCTTTGATATATTTTTCGTTATAATTTCTTGTCCTGATTTCGTATTTCTTCTTTCGGCTTTTTAATTTATTTTTCTTTTAATTTTTTTTTGTTTTTTTTTTTTTTAATTGTCAATCGATGTTCAAGAGATTTGGAATAATCGAACATACGTTTGTACTCTCCGTACATCCTGCGAGACATCCTATGAGAATCGATTCAAATCGATACGGACAGATGATTAATCGCTCGTGAAGACAATATCCACGCTATTCCATGAGAAATGATGCAGTCATTCTTTCTTCAAGGTTACCTTTGCAGGAAATACGAATGATGCGCTTTAAACACGCGATAATATTAACCTCACAATATATGCATTGTATATATGTGGGACACGTTCGTAAAATTCTTATTTCCCGTTTATTCCAACTTCTATATGTATAGAAAATTGTGTAATAAAATACTTCATTATGTGATATTAGAAAATATTAAAAATTAGAGTTCAAACCAATTTAACAGTAATTCTTATATCTCGCTAAAGTATTTTGAAACAAATTCTTTCTTCTTCTTGTTCATCATCATCATCTTCGAAAGAAATAGAAAGAAAGTGAGAAAGAGTAGCAGCCTCTAGAGAAGAAAATTTTATCGTCCGGAACATATATTACTTTCGACTATAAATATCGATAGTACATAAACGTCAATTTATTTCTTTATGCCGGTGGCATTAGGTAGATACACTCCCCACCCCTCTCTTCTTCCCTGGATGGACGTGAATACGAAATAGGAAACTAAAGGCGACGGATGGGGTGAATGGGGGAAAATGCAAAAAAGCACTTTCTACCTTTCCATAAATCATTTTCCAATTTCACTAACTCGTGCCCAAAAAAAATCGATATATGCATCTACTACATGTATCTCGTATTTTTGACATCATCATCATCATTGAAAGGGTTGTGATAGACAGTTGTACGAAAACTTTCGATCTTTCTTTATTTTCCTTGTTCATTTTTTCATCGAGTTTCCCCTTTTAAATTCTATTCTTTCTCGTGTACCGGTTGTCGGAGTGGAAAAGGAGGAAGCACGCTTAAGGGAATACTAATCGTGCCGAAAGAGGAGCGTACGACATGTAATAATGGCAATAACGGATTCCTCATTGCATATGGTATTATAATCACGAAACTGGTATGAACTTTAACCGTGTTTCACCGACACTATCTCATCGTCGTCGTTCATCGTCGTCGTTGTCGTCGTCAGTGCCACGGGAATTGGTTTTGATACATCAGATTATACTGTTCTGAGAACGCATTGAACTGTTCGTGTTGATGAAGCTCGATGTAATAATGCTTGGATGCCCGTAATACTACGTTTCTAGCACTACCTTCCACCCCCTTCCCCTATCGTTCCCGGTCTCATGGGGTTTTTCGGACTTTCGCCGCTCTCATTGCTCTCGAGCATGCACCTTCTTGGAGATAGAAAAAGAGAAAGAAAGAGAACAAGAAAAAGAATATATTTGTGTGCGTGAGTTCGCCTATATTTGGAAAAAAAGGAAAGACGTGTGCCCCAGGGTCGAATCGATTATTTAACAACGAATGATGTCGACGAATGGCACGCAACTCCGACACCTATCTCTCTCTCTCTCTCTCTCTCTCTCTCTCTTTCTCTCTGTTTGTCTCTGACAAGAAATTGTGGCCCTTCTTCTCGAAAACTTCGAAATAAAAGGAAATAAGAAAGGTAGGAAAAAAGAAAGAATCGATGGGTAAAGACCGTCGTCTGAAATTTGCCAATAATCTCTCGAGGGGGTGATTTTTATAGGATTAGTCGAATGGTGGTGGGTGCGTGACATGAGAAATATTTAGGGCAATATTGGAAAAGAAAGAGAGAGAGGAGAGAAAGAGAGAAATGAAGAGGAAGTATAATAGTAAACGAATTATTCTTTGTAGAGATTTAGATAATAAACGTGTATACGTAACGCGCGTAACAATTTACAAGATTGTAGTTAACAAGTCTTGATTAAGGGTTATCGAAGTAAATTATATAACGATAGGATTTCTTAGAGTTCGATTTGTTTCCAGTTATTTCGAATTATTCGATCGTACAAATATATGCTGGTATATAGACAAACCTATAATAATGCCTAATCATTTCAAGAAGGAGAACGTTTTCAAAGTCCGTGTTAAAAGATAATTATCGAGGTTTTTCGTTAGTTCGATACGAACTTTCAATATCTTACTTCAATTTCATCATCTTATCTTCGATATCTTACTGTTAGTTAAAAATGCTGCCAAATCAAAAAAAATATATAAGATATTTAGCATACCGATAATTTGTGCTTGATTTTGGGTGTCCTGCTTTTCCTATGCGGTAACAGAACCACAACGTCTTGGTCCTTCGTTCGTGGTTCGGCATATTTCGGATACGGTTTGCCCGAAGATGTTCCTCGTACCGAAGTGGATGTCGATAGTGTGGTCGATCCACCCGCGGTTGAATATTTCGAATATGCAACGTTCGTTACATTATTGCTTCCGCCTCCGTAAGAAACGTTGTGTGTATTGTTTACCTAAAAGACATACATAAGTATATACGTTAAGAATATATTAATGGATACGTTATCCGATACAAATTATTTATGAATGAGAGCATTTTAATTGGAAAGATTCGTAAGTTCATTTTTATTTCTTTTCTTTTTATTTTTTCATTTTTTTTAGATTTTTTTTTCCCCTGTTTCGTAGATGGTAATTATTTTTATTGGATTAATTGCGACAAGTACACATACACACACGAGGAAAGATTAACAATAAGTAAATGTCTCTGTTAGAATCATCTTATCAACTACATATGAGTCACGTTTGGTTGCGATCATAAATAAGTATATACATATATATATATATATATATATACGTGTATCGCTGACCTTGCAGAGATACTATACATTACGTATATTGAAGCATTTAACATTTCTATGAAGCTCTCGTTCTCGTCACCGACACACGCGCATACATCGAAACATCGCGTCGATACATTTTTTTTATTTTAGACTTAATTAAAGAACGTGCAATTACTTCATGCGTTAACGCCAACACTTTACTAACAGATAAAGAGAGAGAGGGGCCAGAGGGGAGGGGAGAGTATACAGCTCTCGTAGTTCATTGACTCAATGCTTGAAAAGAAACAAGTTACTATCAAACCACTGTGCCCCGAATCGAATACTCACGAAGATAATCGTCATCGTAGCAAAAATAGCATGTATTCTCTCTGAGAATAATTTTAATCACAAGATAATACACACAAATAAAAAATAAAAAGTAAGTATGTTGATTGTTGGACGACTCTTTCCGCGTATAAAAGTGGAAGGTAAACAAAGAGCTAAGTGTTGCTCAGCTGACGATACAAATGTGCCATCTTTGAACTCATGCGTGAGCGGGAAATTCAAATGCAGTCAGGAAGAGAGTATATATTTTAAATACGTTTTCTGCCACGTTCAAATTTGCATGAATGCTTTCAGATAGCCACATAAAAGTAAAACAATGCAACATATTTAATATTTGCAATAAAATATATAATGTTTTCGTTGTTGATTAGTGCATTCATAGTATTGTCTTATTAGCTGTGATATTTAAAATGTTGTACTCGTCAATATTTATTTATTTGATTTTAATTATTTAAACGTTTGAAGCTTTCTGGTCACCCATGGATACCACGTGGGCCCATCGAAGAAATATTATAAATTCAAATTATTGGTGACCGACGTAGCAGTAAACGTGTTAAAGAGTTTGATCTTTTTTATAGTTCGTAATGATATATACATTTAAAAAGAAGATAAAATCATAATCAAATATGCTTACGTACACATGTGTATATATACATAGATTGATACATAGATAGATCGATCGTGCATCGGGTGAACTTACCTGTACGAGAATGTGGCAAGCTTGAGAGGCTATTTGAAAGAGGCCATCCTGTAAATTTCTCCCAGTGTTATCGGAAGTATCACTACCGCCTTTTTTCCAGCCGAAGAAGGACATTATGAAGAACGTTTACTCCTTCGACGTTAATATTAAGAATCTCTCAAAGATGGAATAAATTAAACTCTTCGAATCAGGGTTGTGCCAATCGAAAAAACCTCATCGAACTCGATCCTGCCTCCATATCGGCCGGAAATATTGATTTCTATCGCTATACGTGTACGTTTGTATATGTGAGTAAAAAGAGAAAAAATAGAAATAGAATAAGAAGGACGCGTTTTTATAATATATTCATAGCCATGCAAATTTATTCGGCTTGCTGGTAACATTAGCGTGCTGCGGATCGAGAGCGTACGATGAAATTTCCCGAATACAAATTTTGATTAGAAATAACGAACTCGATACGTGCGTATGCATGTAGGTAAATACTAGGGGAGGTATAGGTGAATATGTTCTAAACGTTACCGTTAATTAAATCATTAGGTATTCGAATACGATGGGGTTATTAAATTGACTACCCTTCGGCTATCATACGAATTCGGAACGATCGGAAAAGGATTATCTATCGAATAAATGCTCCCAACCAAGTATGATATTGTAAAATAGAACGCGAATAACGAAAGAGAATAACGAAAGAGTAAAGAAGAGAAGAAATGGGTCGTACGCACGTGTGCTTCGTACCGTTCCACCCTCCTTGCATGCTTTTTCACATTCTTTCTTTCCTCTCTCTCTCTTTCTCTCTTTCTTTCTCTCTTTCTCTCTATCTCTTTTTTTCTTTAGGTCGATTCAGCACTCTAGCGTGGTATCCTCGATGAAGTTGAACAATATCTTGAAAATCGAAGTACGAAATCGATGCTGCTGAAGCACGCAAATCCGGCTCTTTTAAACAGGATGCACGTCGTCGTACGCTTCATTATCGATCACGAACGGGATAATTGCTGTTGTTTCTCTGTTTCGTTTGTATGTATATTTGTGTGTGTATATATGTATGTTTGTAATATGAGTTATCTCACGATGAAATCTTGGAGTCACTATATTCTCTGGAGTCGTCGTCGCTTAGGAAACACGCAGGCTGTGCCGTTGCATTGCCGCGAACGGCCACAAGCATCCTTGCTTTCGTCGTGTGGAAAGATAGAAAGAGATAGATTGGAGAAGGGATGACGAATGAGAGGGAGAGACAGAGAGAAAGAGAAAGAGAAAGAGAGAGAGAGTGAACACAATGGAATTTCGGCGAAGGAAGGAATCCACGGTCGCGGGTAGGTCGAACCACACCGTTAAACTCACCTACGATCCCTCGAGCTACCGCCAGCGATTCTAGTTGCGGTGTCTCGAAGGTAAGAAGGGGATGTTTCAGGGGGTTGTGTCCCGCCAACAACGGACCTGCGCTCCAGGAGCTTTACTTCGCGTGGCCTCGATACGTTTTCCGATAAATATAMAGCCTGAAAGCAAAAGAGGGAGAGAGAGAGAAAGAGAGAGGGAGAGAGAGTGTGTGAAAGAGAGGGAAAGAGAGAGAGAGAAAAGTGGAAGGATGCAAAACTGCGGGAACTCGGCCTAGTCGTCTAGGCTACGGAATATTAGTCGTCCTCGTAACTAACGATACTAGCCGAGTATAACGATACTAGACTAACGATAAAAGCCGAGAACATTGGTTTCTTTCCTTGTCTTTCTATATAACACACACCCCCTCGCCCGCTCATCTACTCTTTTATCCTTTTCTCTCTATGTCGACTTTGTCTCGTTCGCCGTCTCGTTGAATAATGGACGAATGTCACATTCTATCGTCTACTACCATTCCGATCATTGTTGCCCACGCTTTTGAAATAACACCGTTTATCATCGTCGCAACGTGTAATTGTACAGAGGGAAATACAAGATGGTAAAGACGGGGGTGGAATACAGAGAAACAGAGTAGAATTCCAGACGAACGATACGTCGTCGTTCTCATCTTCGCGTCCTCGTCCTCGTCCTCATCGGCAACGGTCCTGCGATCGTCCTAACGTCTTTTTCTTTCTCTCACGTTTCGTTAATATTTTCTATGACAATTTATCGTTTAGTTTAGTTGTTTCATTAGTTTATATTAGAATATGATTGATAAATAGAGTTTCTTCATCCTGTCGAATGTGGATAAAATGATCTAAATTGATATTGAAATTAATCATCACAATAATTCGGATTAAACAATGAGAAAATTTGAATAGAAATATTTGAATTTATTTAAAAAATGTAATTAAAAAATAAAGAGATCAGATGAAATTCGCTTGTGGAAGACCGATCGAGCGTGTAATTTCACTAAGTTACTAATACCACCTGCCGATAGATTGCGCTCGAATCATTTTGTAAAGTACAGGACGTGTTACACATGCGGTACTTCCCTGAAAATACACACACATACATACGTCTTGTTTGAGGCCACACCTCTATTCATTTAACAGACTGTATACCTCGTGCCATTTTCCGATAAAAAAGAAAAAGAAAGAATGAGGAAAGCAGTATAATGTTAATCGATACTATTTTATCTATACTGCGACCGATACATCGGAACAAATTGAAAACGATCGCGGTTCGCATGCACAGTTGTTTCCAATGTTGCTTCTATCATTTTAGAGTTTTTCTTTTTCCTTTCCTTTTTCTTTTTCTTGTTCAATTTTGTGTTTTGTAGTTTCTGGTCATATGGAGCTTTTGCGAAACGTGCACAGAAGGTACTGTATGTTGCAAAATTCCGTATCGGAACGAAAGGAAAGAGAGATATATGCGAAGCATCGATAATTACAAGGAATATGTTTCTTTCGTAATGGATTAAAAGGTCGAGTCGATAGCAGAAAAGATTAAACATGTTTATTATAAAAATTAGTATATCTTATTTTCATTGATCTAGTAATCTCATATATACGTATATGTATTTAATAAATATATATTAYTAATTAATTACAAAATGTAACAATTATTTGTATTTACTAATATATGTAATACATTAAATAGATTATATACACGATATAACACATATTATTAGAAAACACACAACTCTACCATACAAATAAAACCGGATATTTATCTTAATCGAAGAAAACATTTTTGAAATTTGAACGACCTATAAGAATAAAAAGAGTATCCATTAGAAAAGAAAAGAAAAGAATCAAAGTATCATTCGAATCTTGTATACATCAACCAAATGTGGCGACCGAATCGCCGTATTACGCACCACTATCAAGAATCTCACGAATTTCTCTGGTTTCCTTAGTTAGCCAACAAAAGGCACAAACCAGCAGTAATAGCAACAGCACAGCATCCCGTCCGATTTCATCTCTTTTGCTTTAGATGCACTCTCGGCTGTGGCTCGACCTCGCAGGTATTTTCTTCGTTCAACGAGTTCTTCATAAAATAGAGAAAGAGAGAGAAAAAGAATAGGGAGAGAACAAGAAAGGAGAGGAGAGGAGAGGAGAGAATGAGAGAGAAAGAGAGAGAGAGAGAGACAGTGGCTTTCAACCTTGGGCTTCATTTTTCCGCGGTAACGGCGGGTGCCCCTGAAACTCGTCGGTGTGTCCCCACCACAGGCTCATTTGGCAAAGCAAGGTAGGGGGATAGGAAAGCCGAGGGCTTCCGGAAACGCCCGAACACGGGCCTTTCCTACGAGCGATCGAGAAACGCCCTTCCACCCCTCTACCCTTTCCCTAGCCCATGGTATCTAACTCTTAATCGGTTTCGCCGCGTGTACCCAACGTTTCCTCCCACCATCGCACTCTCTAGCTCTCATGAATAGTGGTGTAGTAATGTAGTAGTGTAGTAGATACTTCTGCTCTATCCCCCACCACACTCTCTTTGCTACCGAAGTCGGTGCTTTCCATTCGGCAGCAGCAGCAGCAGCAGCAGCGACGGCCATGGCTCGGCTCGGCGGCTCGGGTAGTTTCGTCGAAACCTTCTCGTTGCCTCCTCCCTTCGTCGTTGGCTAAACGTCCTCGTAGTCCTCGTAGAGCCGCCACCGCGAGCACTCGTAAGATAGAAGATAAGGAGAGAGGGAGGAAGATCACGACGACGGTCGGTGAACAGAGAAAGAAAAAGAGAAAGAGAAGGAGATTGAGAAACATAGAGAGTGGGTGGGAGAGAGAGAAATAGAAAGTGGGAGTGAGAAGAGTAAAATAAGAGATTAAGAGGGGAAAGAAATATAAGTGGGGATGAACAGAGTGAGAGATAAATAGAAAAAGAAAGGGTGAAAGAGAGATACTCGGGAGAGATCAAGCGAAAGAAGACGACGACGACGAAGAGGACGAGGACGAGGACGAAGACGAGGACAGCGATACTTTATAAACGAGTACGCGCGTGGCGATATACAATACTCGTGGCATCTTCTCTCTTGATACTACGCTGGTGGTGCGCTTCGAAGCCGGTTCCTGTATTATATGTTGTTCGTGCGTTTGGAATCCGTTGCTAGGACGAGTTCTCGTGACGTTTCTCTCGATAGTCCGGCGCCATTGTTATCGTCCGCGTTTGAAAAGAGAAGACGGTGTTCGGTCGCGTCATTTTTGTCATTTTCTTCCCCTATTTCTTCTATTATTGCCTCCATCTTTCTTCCCTATATACTTTATAATATATCATAAACTATAAATATATTTCTCTTTCTTACTATTATAACTTGTTTTCCTTGAAAAAAAAAAAAAAAAATAGAGAAGAGATATAGAAAGCCGGTTTTATTACTATCAGACACGCCGGTATATTATGACCAGGAAAAAGTGTGCTACTACTAACGAATAACACCTCTCCAAGGTTCTTGTTTTTTTGTTTTTTTTCTCACCCCAACGAGAATCCCTCGTTTCTACGCCTTTGCACGTTTGACAGGTGCGTTCGAGAACCGCGTGAACGAGAAAGAGAAAGATCCAGAGGAAGGGACGATAAGGTCGGTTTTAAAAGGGGGAGAGAAAGAGAAAAAGAAATAGTGAGTGTGAGTGAGAGAGATAGTCAAGCTCCTCGACACTCTTCGTGTAGTTTTATTGTTTTCCTTCTACCAGTAATAGTTGGAAGGGCAAAAGAAAGAAAGAGAAGAGAAGGGAGGGAAGAAAGGTCGGTCGTGAGATCGAGAAAACAGAAGTGAAAGAACGAGAGGGACGAAATCATCTTCTTTTCTTCGTCCTTGCTGCTTGTTGTTCTTTGTCGTTGAACCGACCCCGGCATTTTTCCTTCGGTGGTAACTACTACTTACCGCATACCACAACCCTTTGGTTGTTGCTTCTTGTACTACAACTACGAGAAAAAGGAAAAATAAATAACGTTAGAAGGGCCAGCAAGTTTGCAAAGAAGATAGAAATAAAGAAGGAAAGAAAGATAGATATAGAAAGATTTAAACAGAATAAAGAAAAAGCAAGGAGCCAGTGTTCTCGTGTACACAGTGTCCAGTGCATTATGTGATTGTTTTCTCTGCGACGCGCTTTCCTCGGCCACCGGTGATCGATTCGAAGAGCGTGAAGGTTAGTTCCTCTTTGTGTTTGAATATTACGCACCTCTCTCTTTCTCTCTCTCTCTCTTTCTCTCGCTCTCTCTGAACGAAGAAAAGGAGAGATAGAAAGAGAAAACACATATGTATATATATATATATATATATATATATATATATGTGTGCATACATGTACATATGTATATAGTACATATGTGCGTGTCAATAAATCGATGAATTTCCGTTCGCAAGCGTGACCATCAGTAGTCACTCGAGTATTCAAGACCATGTGCGTGCGGCTTTCCTATTTCCTTTTTTTTCGCTTGAATTTTCGAACCATTCAAGGCTACTCTCGGAGGGAAGAAGAGGGTTGTGAGTTTCGCGCCCCTTCACTCCGACCTCTCGGGATCGTCCACGAGGGGACGCTTATGGGGCGACTTATTCGGTTCTCTTTGTCTTTTTCTGTTTCTTTTATATTGCAATTTACAGATGAATTATCTCTAAACGTACGTCTACAACCACCGGTCTAATGATCGAGTTTTTTTGTTTTTTTTTTGTTTTCTATTTAAATTATTTATTCTATGTTATTATTACTTTTATTTTCATTTGTTTTAATGATAATTGTAATTGTAATTATGTGAATTGTTTTATTTTCAAAAATATAGTCTTTTATTAAAAATCGGTTTTGGTATTAATAATAGTAGTAACATTAACGATCGGTAAGTTTTTAGTATTGATGGAATTTGAATTTTCTTTTAAAAATTATTTATAATTTAACGTTTGAATTATCAAATTTATTCCAATTATATATTTTCGATTTCTTCAATAATGAATATTATTTTAGTATTTAATAATCAAAAGAATCAGAGAATGATTTTAAAAGAATAAAACTAAGTATAAATTCTTATATTTATTTGTACTTATATATATACCTTAATTGGATAGTATAAAAGATGACTTTTTATTTCAACGTTTAATTACGAGAGTACATTAAAATTAAGATAAAATTGTATAATTTTCAATAATAGCCTTCGAATTAATTTAAAACAGTAAAATTTATTTATTTATCTGTATAATTCTGTGATAAGTATAATACGAAAAAAAGTATATACCGGTTTTATCGTAATATCCACGTAACGCGCGTAATTATCTAATTAAAACAATTTACATTTGTAATCAAGGGGCAGGTGTTTCGAATATTACCCGATGCGCTCGAAGAAGCACAAAGTCGGTTGTTAAGATCTCTACCTGCCTATCTTCGAAACTAGTCGTTAGAAAAATGTTCGAAATTTTACAGAGCCAGAATAGCTGAAGATGTTTCTTCTTTTCCTTCTTTTTTTTTTCTCACCCCAGACTAATTCGGTTTCCTTATAATTTCGATCATTAGACTGATCTTTATCTACGACAAGACAACGTTTCTTTATTTCTACATGCAATGAATTAAACCCTAAACCTATACCGACCATTTATATATAATTATTTATACAGGAGAACCCCATTAAAATGACCAGCTTTTAACTAAAGTTACATTTTCTTGTGCAATTGAATGTGTTTATTAATTTAAAATTAGAATAATTACATTTTTTTTTGAGGGATGGGGAATCGTAGAAGAAATGAAAGATCAAAGTTAGTATTTTTGTTATATTTTACTTTTTTTTTTATTAATTTAAAGGGTAATTATTTTTCAAAATTTCGATTCGAAAGAGAAACTTCTTTAATAAATAGTTTTTTATTTACCATTAAAAAAATGAAATTACTTTCCTAACAACTTAACAAATTCTATTATAATCTATAATTGTTACATCTAATTCGATCCCATCAAAAGATGTGGGGTACCATCGGGTAGAGAAATACATACTAGTTTCCATGGTATTTCAAATTCGCTGCGCATACGTCAATCCGGTTAAAGGTTTAATTATACATTTTTGCGTTGAACAAGCCGACGATAGTTGGATCCTCGATCCGTAATTTACCGTAAGGAATTCTGTTATTTGCTCGTAATAGAGAGAATCGTATATGAACATACGAGAAATGTCTATATAGAAATACGTAGCGTATGTAAATACATAGGATAGAGAGTAGTACTTATAGAGATACATACACACATATTATATAGATGCACGAAATATTTGATATGGTTCTGCTTGATTCTCGAAATTACCTTTCTCCCTAAATTTTTCTCTTTCTTTCCCTTTACGAATTTTTAAATTAATTTAATCATTTAAATTACATCTTAATAAATTTCCTAGAAAAATGAAAAATCTATTACGTTCATTTATAATCATTATTATTATATTTGAGGAATTTTATGCAAAAAAAAAATATTTTTATTCAAAAAAGACGAATTGCCATGGAGTAAACGTGTAACAAGGTTACGTCAATTGTATAGAAAAAGACAATAACAAGCTGGACAAAAGCCATCTGTGTCACTTACGTAATGCATGTTCGATAAATATCGACGTGTATGTCACATAAGTACGTAAGTAACATATATATCTTCGATTCGTAGCAATTATTCATATCGTAGGCGTACGTCAGTCCTTTATTGAACCCAATAAAGTTCTCTATATCAATATTTTCTTATTCTCAGTAAAATTGCTTTATTTTTGTTATTTAATTTGATAATGAGAATCGATTAGTTTGATTTAATGAATACATAGATTATATCGTTGGAATTAGTCTCATTATTGTTATTTAAATTATATTCGTATAAGTAAATGTTTAAGAAAGAACATGAATGTAAAGAATGTAAAGAAGAACATGATTGATTGTAAACTACGTTCTCATATACCGGTTTTTTTTTAAGCAGTGGTTTTATGGTGAATTTTTTTTCAAACACGAATAGGCTACGCACACACAGCTTGTTCAACACCTGGCACTTTTGGTATCATTGTAATACCGAAGAAAAGCATTCTATTGCTTGGTATAGGTATATATATATATATATATATATATATATATATATATATATAGATATAAGAAGGGAAAATTTTCGATTGACGACGAGCAAACGTTGTTCCTTCTTTTCTTCCTCATTTTCTATTTGGTAAAGGAATCACGCTGGGCTGTAACAAAAAGCATAATAATCAATTTCCGAGCGTCTCGAAGCAATTAGAGTGGACGATACTCCAGCGTGTTATTATGGTTATATACCAATCTAGTGAATCGGTACTTGGCAATCATGCTCCTATAGAAAACTAGATAATGTCACTAGTTTCGTTTGTATAAAAAATGAAGAAAATAAGAGTGAGAGAGATAGAGGGAGAAAAAATATAGATGTAATCAAGAAAAACTTGAAAAATCTTGAAACAGAGTTAATAATAATTACAGAAGGGTCTTTTTTTTTTTTTAAATCATTACATCCTGAAAAAAATAACTTTTTTCATGTTATGAAAAATCAATTTGTTGAAATAATCAAAATGTAGAGTTTTGTTTAAAAAAATTATTGATAATCTTGAATAGTCGTAAAAATGATTATTTTTATAAATAAATTTTTTCCTTTAAAATTTATTTATAATGATTACCGAACAATATATTTATAATACTTATTCCAATTTTTAATAAACTGATAAACTTTAATCACACTTTTTATATTATATTATTTTAAAGATACGACTCTGATACTGTGGTATTCTCGAGAATTCGTAAGAATATTTCTACGATAACTTTCTGGGATATTTCTTACTAATTAATTACTTTCCTCGCTTTAGCGTAAATGTATCAGCTATAATTACGCAACCTGTTAAAAATTTTAATTCGGACTTATTCGTTGAAAAACTATAATGTATATCATATTTCAATTTATCGTGAGAAGGAGAAAAAGAAGAAAAATAAGTGAAAGGGGTCGATTTACCAGGTGGTCCTCTCAATACCTATTATTACCTTAAGTATCCCCGTTACTTTTGGATTTTATGAAACTAAAAAAATATGTTTAAAATATAAAATCATGAAACTGAGTAAATTTTAAATGGTATTTTTAAATCAGCCACTTTGATTGATATAACATTTCTAACTTTTAATACAATTAAAATATTATAATTTTGAGGGGAAAATGTTTGATATTGAATTAGAAAAATAAGAGAAATATGTGAAGTGGTAATAGTTATTGAATCACTCCAGTATATATATAATGATATTTTTTATTCTTTCTGTTTAAAATATACAGAATACATTCTAGACTTTATAGTTACATCCCTATCGAAATAAATTTCTTTAGTCTTCGTTAGAATAATGCTTTTGCGTGTTTCTATGCAAGCTTCAGCGAAGTGCGCGACGTTAATCGAGTTTTTCGACGATAAAGGCGTTACGTGTCGTGATTCTGCGTGGGTGTCTCACGCGTACGAAGCTTCTTGTCGCTTCATTAAGATACACGACCAGCTTAATGATCTCTATGGAGATTTAACATAAGAGAAACTCACTCGACAATGAACACGAAGCTTTTACCGGACAACAACGAGTTAAGAATCTTTGAATGAACTCACTCGACTCTGATCTAAAGCGGTAGGGGAGGGGGATCAACATTTTTCATTTGAATTTCTACTACTCTTCTTCATGATCCAATCTCATCATTGTTTGTTCATTTGGATTACAGGTTTCGTATAAATTAAATCATCTTTTGTTGGTTTTTTTTCTTTCTTTCTTTCTTATAAGTTAATAGACGTTAATTAAACTTTTCTTTCTTTTTTTTTTTTGAATAAAAGTTAACGTACAAATTATAATATTGTCATTTGTATGCAGGAATTATTTTAGATTTTTTGTTTTATCAAATATTATGTTTGTATTACTAACAGTAAATGCTTTCATGTATGTGTTTCTTACTTTTTTTTTATCATGTACATTTATTTCACAAATTTTTTTTTTCAAAAAAAAATTTAAAATTCAATTACTAAAATTTCGATATTTAGCAGAATCTAAAAAAGTAATTTTTCTATAGCCGATTCGGAGCATTCCTAACTTATATAAAATATACAATATAAAAGTTAATTAATTTTAAATCGCACACCATCGATCGAATAATTTTTGTTTTCTAGTTTA